TACACACGAGGACCGAAAGTAACAAGCAGCCCTACACACGAGGTTACAGAAGTAACAAGCAGCCCTACACAAGAGGGCCGAAAGTAACAAGGAGCCCTACACACGAGGTACAGAAGTAACAAGGAGCCCTACACACGAGGGACAGAAGTAAGAAACAACCCTACACATGAGGTACAGAAGTAACAGGCAGCCCTGCACACGAGGGACAGAAGTAACAGGCAGCCCTGCTCACGAGGTACAGAAGTAACAGGCAGCCCTGCACACGAGGGACAGAAGTAACAGGCAGCCCTGCTCACGAGGTACAGAAGTAACAAGCAGCCCTACACACGAGGTACAGAAGTAACAAGCAGCCCCACACACGAAGTACAGAAGTAACAAGCAGTCCTACACAAGAGGGCCGAAAGTAACAAGCAGCCCTACACACGAGGACCGAAAGTAACAAGCAGCCCTACACACGAGGTTACAGAAGTAACAAGCAGCCCTACACACGAGGGCCGAAAGTAACAAGGAGCCCCACACACGAGGTACATAAGTAACAAGCAGCCCTACACAAGAGGGCCGAAAGTAACAAGCAGCCCTACACACGAGGACCGAAAGTAACAAGCAGCCCTACACACGAGGTTACAGAAGTGACAAGCAGCCCTACACAAGAGGGCCGAAAGTAACAAGGAGCCCTACACACGAGGTACAGAAGTAACAAGCAGCCCTACACAAGAGGGCCGAAAGTAACAAGCAGCCCTACACACGAGGACCGAAAGTAACAAGCAGCCCTACACACGAGGGACAGAAGTAAGAAACAACCCTACACACGAGGGACAGGAGTAACAAGCAGCCCTACACACGAGGACCGAAAGTAACAAGCAACCCTACACACGAGGACCGAAAGTAACAAGCAACCATACACACGAGGGACAGAAGTAACAAGCTGCCCTACACACGATGGACAGAAGTAACAAGCAGCCCTACACACGAGGGACAGAAGTAACAAGCAGCCCTACAAACGAGGGACAGAAGTAACAACCAGCCCTACACACGAGGGACAGAAGTAACAAGCAGCCCTGCAAACGAGGTACAGAAGTAACAACCACCCCTACACACGAGGTACAGAAGTAAGAAACAACCCTACACACGAGGGACAGGAGTAACAAGCAGCCCTACACACGAGGACCGAAAGTAACAAGCAACCCTACACACGAGGGACAGGAGTAACAAGCAGCCCTACACACGAGGGACAGAAGTAACTGGCAAACCCACATTCGAATCACAGAAGTAACAAGCAGCCCTCCAGAAATGGGAAAGAAGTAACAAGCAGTCCTATATATGCGGGATTAAAGAAACAAGTAGCCTCACACATGTGGCACAGACGTCCGAAGCAACCCACCATACAGAAACAGGAGAGACGTTATACTCAGTCCAATATACCTAGGACAGCAGAAACAAGCAGCGTTACACGCACGTGACAGAAGTAACAAATAGTCTCACAAACACGTGAAGAAGTAAGAAGCTTCCCCAAATAGGCGTGACAGGAGTAAAACCCAAACTTATATAACTAGACTAAAGATATAAACTATCCTACATATAGGACACATGTGATAGAAGTAACAAAAGGTCACACTTACATGGCAATGGGATTAACATGACAATCCTTAATGTTCATGCATGAGGTAGACATGCTTTGAAATCCTAGAAGGGACATTGTTGCGTTGCCGCGATGTCGCTCTCACAAACTCCCTTGAAAAACGTCACCATGAGCCAAAGCGCGACAATGCGACAACGTGACATTTTGACCATTTTTCTCATTGTCGTGTTGTCGCATCATCGTGTTTTGAAAACTAATTTTGATTGTTATGAAAGGGCGGCAGTGCGACAACGTGACATTGTACAAAGTCGAAATATTGTCGACAATGTCCCATCTAGGATTCCATTACATGCAATTACAAAAGAATTGAAGTAACAAGCAACCCTACACACCAAGGATAGATGTGAGAAGAAGTGCTGTCAACATGGGGGAGAAGTATCAAATATCTCGACATACCAGGGAAAGTCGTGGTCAAATCCCAAACATACCCGAGATAGGTGTAACATATATCCCCACTTTCCCGGAAGAGAAGTAACAAATATTCCCACAAACCCGGGAAAGTAGTGACACAATCCCCATTTACCCAGGAAAGAAGTTACGACAGAAAACGAGGACAGAAATAATCTTCTAGATTTCATTTTATTTAATTTTTGTGTCCATAGTGAGAACTGTATGCCTGTAGTGAGAACCATATGTCTACACTGAGAACTAAAGTTTCGGGCAAAAGAAAGTATACACTTGAAAAATCGATTTGTCCAAAAACATTATGAACGTTATAAAAACGTTGCTAGGCTGAAAAAGTCACCGAAACACTGCACACCTAAAGCACAACTATGATACCAGTATCACATACATCTTCATCGAATGACAATTTTTTATTTCCTTTTATTTTAGCCACAATTAAATATGACGTATACATTCTTTTGCCCGGCAGTTTACATCCCAACGCAGAGAAATTCACAAGTAGTTTACTGAACCTATACTGGGATATTGTAGGCTGCACATCTTCATAACATAGTCAAATGTTTTTGTGTCGTAAGGAAGTTGTACCACCATGCATGTAATATCCCCAACTTAGTTCCATCTGTGACAAGTTGATTCTTAAGCTCATTCCCTTCAGTGTGATTCTACGGTGCTTCAGTTACTTTCATATACAATTTCTGTGTTATTCTATCAAGAGTGATGGGGTTAACGTCACTTCAATGAGTACAGTACTTAAAGAATGAGGAAAGCCCGTAGTGGCGTAGGTCAGAGAGGTTTACCATTGTTTCGGAGACATGAGCACGATCATTTCCCCTAAAGTATATTTAAGAATCTTCAAATAGCCCTGGGCAAAATGGTTTATGATTATGGAACAAACACAATATATTTTAACTACGTATGCATTCTTCAAATGACAATTTATAATATTTTTCTGGCTTCATAGCTCGACAGATCTCACGATATTAATAGGCGTCCGAGAGTCTAAGAGGGGAAATACGGTACGCTATGATTTTGACGTTCTCGGTTGTAAGCCTGATTGCTTTGATGAGATTACGACATTTAATGGAGGCATAACTTATAACGTTTATGAAACTGTGAGGGATATGTCGGTGCGAACACGGAATTTCCACATTGAAACAAACGATAAATAAAGCAAATCATAGCAATTGAAAGTGTTGCAAAAATCTTTATTTATGACAACATGTTGTTTTGAAACCTTTTGTGATCGATATTTATTGATACGTTAGAAATTGGCATGAGAGGATTTGAAAGTCCATCGAAAACCAACACAGGCATTTGATCACAAGAGCTATCAAACTTGATGAAATTAAAATTCAGAACACACACAATTAAGCAAAACAAACCCGAATCACTGTGACAAGGCCATAACTGTACCTTTTCTTTCATACGCTTTCATATGATATTTTCAAACCTTCGTGTCAAACTGCCGGCTCATCTGCAACAACGGCTGTTCAGTCATACTCAATGGAGCTCCCCTGGCAATTACGTCGTACCAGCAGGCTCATACCCAGTAAATCTACAGATTAATGTTGAATCACATCATAGATCGGAGTCGTCATCTTGTTTCGTGTAACGTGTCAGAGGCACGGAGAGTATAAACAACAACATTTTGCAGCCATTGACAGTTGTATATTTTCAGTGACCGTGATGTAAGTTAAGTACTGCTATATCCAATTCCAGTGTGGAGAGGCCTTTATTGTTAATTTGTATTATTTACTGGGGGTAATTGCTAACTAACTAATAAGACTTACACACGAATAGATGTAGTTAATTCATAAAGTTTGTTCGAGAAATAGATTAGTTCAGCATTTTCTAAACTATTTCAACAAATTGGAAATGGCGCTCTGTTCCCACTTAAAATAAGAGGTATCAACTCTGAAATGGGAAACATCAAATTTCAAATATAGTTGTTTATCTCCTACATATACAAATTCAAAACATTTGGAGGCAAACTGTTAATGTTCACACAGTCCTACTTCTGGGGAGGTACACGTTGTTATAACGTTAGTCAACATTCATTTAAGTGGAAGTGCATGCTGTAATAACGTTTGTAAACATTGTCGTAAGGTTATATACATGTTACTGTAACCATTTAAACATATGTCAGAGGTGACTAAGACTTAATCAGAAATCGGGTATAGTTGATTCCGTCATTAAGCACTATCGAAGGTAATCCATTTAACGTAATATCTATAGCCTCTGATAAACAATAGATGTAATATCAATGACCAGTTTGTCTGCTCCAGACAAGGCACATCGTGATCTCAAATTAACGTACGAGTGATAGATGAACAACAAGTTATCGTCGTTACAATACCGGTGAAACCAATCGTTTGTGAAGGCCTCAAATGGAGAGATTTTTAAAACCTGGGTGGAGTTGTACCCCTATCACATCACGGATCGGGGTATACAAGGTGATGCTTGATTTGTGGTGTCACTGACGATCAGTTTCTCGCAGGGTTAGCACTAGTCACCTCGTTGTGTCGCTCACATACGAACCCGTAGTAATGACAACGAGAAGACATACATATTTTACGTTCTTTTTATTTAAAACAAATAAAACATGGCAATTAATGTGATCTGTATTGAATGAACAAACACAGGTAACATTGTGATAAATGTGCTAGGCAATAAAAAGGGAAATAAAAATTCAAACATCGAAAATAAGGTGATGTAGGGGTTTCACTACCTACCCATCAGTTACCTTGAATGTTGTAACCTTGATCAAACAACTTCTGAGCAAGAGTCGTATGACGCTCTTTTAAGTCGTGGTAGAAAGAGCATGCTCGATTTTACCTCACAATTTGAGAAATGTAAACACCAAAGGCTGGAGCTGCTGGAATGTAGCTCGACATGAAGGGAAAGTTGACTGTTGGAAAGTTGAAGTCATCCCTCTTGTCATACAGTCTTGTGGAGTGTTGTGTCACTCTGAATCTTTATGCATAGATCTAATCATGAAACAGATGAGGCGGTTTCGTTGGTCTCCTTTATTTCTCGTTCCGATGGGTAAATCTGTTGAAGGGATTTGGCAATTTGGTTGTTATTGAAAGATATCAAATAATCGATATGCCTGAAACTTAAGTTAAACTTCTTGGCCAAATTACTTTGTTTTGACTTTGACAATCCAAGCAGAAATTCCGATCCATATGCATAAAGAAACAGATCTGCAAGAAGGGGAGCACAGTTAAAGTTAAATGGCCATCCTTCTGCACCATAACTCAATCCTTACTGACTGACCATTTCACAAACATTGTCCACAATGCGTGGCGATTATTTCACAAAAAAGATATTATTTGAAGCGCCTCCCATTACAACGATAGTTGAATCTTAAAAGGAAAAGAAAACAAGGCACGGTTTCAGGAAATCATGCAATATGTATCTTCACTCAACAGTCTGGTATAGAGTCAGACTCTGCGTGAAGTAACCTAAAATGTGATGGTAACAATAGTATTAATGTGCAGTTTTGGAGTCCATATGACCGGTTGAGGGGAATACAAAGAAAGTACCACTTATATATGTAGGATACACAATGTAAGGACACGTTCATTTAATACTTCGCATAATTTGGGAGATATATTCCAAACAAATCACACTTTGTTTCAATTGTTGGGAATCGATCACGGACACACACATTGTGTAAAATAACAAATGAGAAGAATGTAATAAAACTCCGCTTGTAACCCATAGAGGCAACTACCATTTCCACCGCTTTTATACAGTTTTAATTTCCAGGACGGTGTTATATATGAGAAGACCAATCTATGAACCACGCTCGTTACTAACAAAACTGTATATAACGTACAACCTGTTTTATAAAAAAAAGTCTGTATAATAAAATGTCCGAAATAGGACAGGGGTCCACCAATGCCACTTTAGCGTTGGTAGTAGTAGTTCTGGTCGCTGTCGTCGCTTCGCAGACCGAACGACGTCTCCAGGTTGTCCACCACGTTCCTGAATGTGGGTCGGTTCGCGGGAGACTCGGACCAGCAGTCCTGCATCATCCGGTAGTGACTGAAAACAGACACAGAGAGTTGTACTAAAAACTTGTTTATCTTTCTCTATATATATATCAGTCTGGGCAGGTGTAAGTGAATGGTGTATATTTCAATATTGAACCGCTGTAACTATGGGAGTACCAATGAAAAGGCTTAACACATTGTGTTCTAGTGTGAAGTGAAACCTCTTTAGGATATTGAACGAAGCACGAACCACTTGGCTTCTCAAACATCCACGATGTGTACGTTGTCAGATAGTTTCACAGGTATTGTATATTTGACTCAAACTCCGACAGCACATTTTGCGAGAAACGAAGGGTATACCTGATGATTAAACAAATATAACGTCAACCATACCTAATAGTGAATGTAATAGTATTGGTAAATAGAAACAATTAGTTGAGCACCCAAAATAGTGTTGAAACATATGACACGTCTATTGATAGATAAATGTTACTTACATATCCTCTGCATACTCTGGCCTTGACATTCTGTATCCGCCCTTGACCTTTGTGGGTATATCACGACCTCTGATGTCAGCGTAAGGGTTTTCACCTGGATAGGAAGTGGCATCAATTTAAATCTGTTGCTACCTTTCCCTAGACCTCGTTTAGAAGCGTCTATTGATTTCAGTGTATGTCATTTTACATGTTCTTTTCATTTCCTCGGGGTTAGCCTTTGTAAACCTACGATTTCGTAGTGCTTCCTACCTTCATTTAGGTTCCCTAAAACATGTAAATGCAGGACAATTTCTAACTAAATCCGCACTTGCCGTTAATTCGATCGCTGAATATTATTTGAAATATATATCCCGAAGCCATGACTTTAAATGTTCCAAATATTTCGAAAATATATTATTAATTTATGATTAGATATTTGTTTTTAAATGATTATTTGTAATACGCTGTAATACGCATTGATATCGCAATGGCATAAAACACACCTCCATACACAACATTCCCATCTACCACTACGATCATCAACACATAAACATTCACATCCATACACAATCAGTCACATAAACACACAACTGGGCTCATCAACACGCAACGAGACACATTCATACACAACTGTTCACGGGCGGTCGGGTAGCCTAGTGGTTAAAGCGTTTGCTCGTCACGCCGAAGACCCGGGTTCGATTCCCGACATGGGTACAATGTGTGAAGCCCATTTCCGGTGTCCCCCGCCGTGATATTGCTGGAATATTGCTAAAAGCGGCGTAAAACCATACTCACTCACTCACTCACAACTGTTCACATCCCTACACATCCACAAACAACCAGACACGTCCACACGCAACCAGATACATTCACATACAACAGGATACGTCAGTAAAACTAGATACATGCAGAGCAAACACCTACCCATGCTGAAGATCTCCCAGATTGTCACACCATAGGACCACACGTCACTCTTCTCGTTAGCATCCTTGAGGGACCTCAGACACTCGGGAGCTGTCCATTTGATAGGGATGCGGTCCTACATCAGACAAAAGCAACATTAAAATTAGATTCAGGCAATGAACGTGATGGCATTACATCGCACAAGCATATCAATCGTGAACATGCTTGATCGGGTGTTCAATGACAGTGTAGCCAAAAAAATGTTTAAAATAATAGTACGGCGTGTATGTTGAATCGATGGGCAACCTTGAGAGTAAATATACACGTTTGCCTTTATTATTGCGTTGATGAGACACAGACACACATACAGACGTGTGTTCTCTTACCACCTTGTTTTCATCAGAAGACACATCGACCTTCCTTGGACCACAGCCTGCAACCTTGATCTCCAGCAGGAAGGTCAACAAACAGTTTCGTGCAGCTAGCTTGCGGTGAACGATCTGAAACAAGTGCACGAGATTCTTACACTGACGCCAACATGGCATAAAGATACCTATGTTCGATGCCCTGAGTCGTCGTGACATGTACAGTCCTCCCTTGTTATAATGCCGCCTGTGTTGCAATGGAAGATATGGCATTATAACTAGTCTGGCATAACCAGGGTGGACTAACCAGGGAGGTGAAAAACAGACATTGCTGACATGATATTTACATATAGAAGATTAAAATAAGAACCAAGGCATATCCCTTCAATCCAAGCTACTTATTCAAATATGACTTCAGCAAATTTAAATACATCGCCAAAGGTGTCAAATGTGGACAATTTAAATTCAAATAGCTTTAAAAAAAAGTCTTTGACATAAGCCAGCTGATAATTGTGGCAGGATGAAGGTGTGCTTTCAACAATTAGCAATTGTAGCAGGTGTGACTTGGCCCCAGGTTTTCTTGAAATACGGTATACAATCACTCAGGATGACAATTGTGGTCACTTTATTGTCAAAAGAGTCTTTAGAAATGACAATGTATTTAACCTTTTAGAAAAGGATAATATCATTAACATCAAACTAATCTGTTTGTTAATTTAAGAACGTGAATGATTCTCTGTGTGAGCAGCAGCTGTGAAATCAACTGAGCAAGTGGGAATTATTTCCAAAAGTTTCATTTCCATGTTTTGTCAAAATTAAAGCAACCATGGATTTGGAACGTCTTGCCAAAAATGATGGCATTGGCATTATAATCGGGGTGGCATTATAACCAGGGAATGTTGCACTGTGGAAATCCGTTCTAAGAAAAGCATGTCATTAAGACCAGGGGCATTATAGACAAGGAGGACTGTAGATTGAAAACCTCATCCAAGCATGGATGATCAAGATTCGTATAGTGAGCTCGCCATAGTAAGGACGACAAAGATGGCCATGCAATTTGGGTCAAGAAGGACACACGACCACCCCAACTATGCTCTCGGGATCAAGGTAGATAAACTGACCAAAGCAAGGTGGATCAAGACTGACCTCACCATTTCAAGAAGTACGAAGATAGAGACACTGACCCAGTCATTTCAAGGAGTACAAAGATGGATACACTGACCTCGCCACATGAAGAAGTACGAAGATGGATACACTGACCTCGCCATTTCAAGAAGTACGAAGATGGACACACTGACCTCGCTATTTCAAGAAGTACGAAGAAGGATGCACTGACCTCGCCATTTCAAGAAGTACGAAGATGGACACACTGACCTCGCTATTTCAAGAAGTACGAAGAAGGATGCACTGACCTCGCTATTCAAGAAGTACGAAGATGGACACACTGACCTCGCTATTTCAAGAAGTACGAAGATGGATGCACTGACCTCGCCATTTCAAGAAGTACGAAGATTGATACACTGACCTCGCCATTTCCATAAGTACGAAGATTGATGCACTGACCTCGCCATTTCAAGAAGTACGAAGATGGATGCACTGACCTCGCCATTTCAAGAAGTATGAAGGCAGGACACACTGACCTCGCTATTTCAAGAAGTACGAAGATGGATGCACTGACCTCGCCATTTCAAGAAGTATGAAGGATGGACACACTGACCTCGCCATTTCAAGAAGTACGAAGATGGACACACTGACCTCGCTATTTCAAGCAGTATGAAAAGGATACACTGACCTCGCCATTTCAAGAAGTACGAAAAGGATAGACTGACCTTACCATTTCAAGAAGTACGAAGATAGATACACTGATCTTGCGATTTCAAGAAGTACGTAGATAGATACACTGACCTTGCGATTTGAAGAAGTATGAAGATTGATGCACTGACCTTGCCATTTCAAGAAGTATGAAGGATGGACACACTGACCTCGCCATTTCAAGAAGGTCGAAGATGGACACACTGACCTCGCTATTTCAAGCAGTATGAAAAGGATACACTGACCTCGCCATTTCAAGAAGTACGAAAAGGATAGACTGATCTCACCATTTCAAGAAGTATGAAGATGGACACACTGACCTTACCATTTCAAGAAGTACGAAGATAGATACACTGATCTTGCGATTTCAAGAAGTACGTAGATAGATACACTGACCTTGCGATTTGAAGAAGTATGAAGATTGATGCACTGACCTTGTCATTTCAAGAAGTACGAAGATGGATGCACTGACCTCGCCATTTCAAGAAGTACGAAGATTGATACACTGACCTCGCCATTTCCATAAGTACGAAGATTGATGCACTGACCTCGCCATTTCAAGAAGTACGAAGATGGATGCACTGACCTCGCCATTTCAAGAAGTATGAAGGAAGGACACACTGACCTCGCTATTTCAAGAAGTACGAAGATGGATGCACTGACCTCGCCATTTCAAGAAGTATGAAGGATGGACACACTGACCTCGCCATTTCAAGAAGTACGAAGATGGACACACTGACCTCGCTATTTCAAGCAGTATGAAAAGGATACACTGACCTCGCCATTTCAAGAAGTACGAAGATAGATACACTGATCTTGCGATTTCAAGAAGTACGAAGATAGATACACTGACCTTGCGATTTGAAGAAGTATGAAGATTGATGCACTGACCTTGCCATTTCAAGAAGTATGAAGGATGGACACACTGACCTCGCCATTTCAAGAAGTACGAAGATGGACACACTGACCTCGCTATTTCAAGCAGTATGAAAAGGATACACTGACCTCGCCATTTCAAGAAGTACGAAAAGGATAGACTGATCTCACCATTTCAAGAAGTATGAAGATGGACACACTGACCTTACCATTTCAAGAAGTACGAAGATAGATACACTGATCTTGCGATTTCAAGAAGTACGTAGATAGATACACTGACCTTGCGATTTGAAGGAGTATGAAGATTGATGCACTGACCTTGTCATTTCAAGAAGTACGAAGATGGATGCACTGACCTCGCCATTTCAAGAAGTACGAAGATTGATACACTGACCTCGCCATTTCCATAAGTACGAAGATTGATGCACTGACCTCGCCATTTCAAGAAGTACGAAGATGGATGCACTGACCTCGCCATTTCAAGAAGTATGAAGGAAGGACACACTGACCTCGCTATTTCAAGAAGTACGAAGATGGATGCACTGACCTCGCCATTTCAAGAAGTATGAAGGATGGACACACTGACCTCGCCATTTCAAGAAGTACGAAGATGGACACACTGACCTCGCTATTTCAAGCAGTATGAAAAGGATACACTGACCTCGCCATTTCAAGAAGTACGAAAAGGATAGACTGATCTCACCATTTCAAGAAGTATGAAGATGGACACACTGACCTCGCCATTTCAAGAAGTATGAAGGAAGGACACACTGACCTCGCCATTTCAAGCAGTACGAAGGATGGATACAATAACCTTCCCAATTCAAAATAGACTCACTCTCTTAGTTCGAAATCAATAGAACAGACACATTAGAAACTGTAATGGCATTTACCCCTTTGGACGCCAGATAATCCATTCCACGTGCGATTTCAAGTGTGAAGTTCTGTATTCTGTCCAGGGTGTCTTCATTGGTGTTGGATCTCTGCTTGGTCAGCCACTTGTCCAGCTGGCCAGTTTCGCAGTACTCCAGCACCATGACGGGACCCACTGGACACCAAACAGACATACAGACACATGTTATACTGACAGATAGAATAGAAAGAGGCACATGGTTTGCAGGCAGACACCAAAGAGACATACATCTTCATGTTCTACTGGCATCGATTTCAAGACGTCAACACCAAAAAATAATCAATCTCGTATAACTATTGTCGTAAAAGGCAACAGAGTGATGGAGTGAGTGAGTGAGTGAGTTTGGTTTAACGCCGCTTTTAACACTATTCCAGTTATATCGCGGCGTGTCAGCTTAATGTGGGAGGAGAGCCCGAAGTGATGCAGGTCTCAGACGTTTACCACTTCGGTGAAACCCACGAGCACGGGTATGGTGCTGACAAACCTAGAAACATAATCGGGGCGAACCGGGATTCGAACCAACAATCATAGGTTTCTGGCGTGCCCAAGTGACGCAACTCTGCACAGCGAGTCGCGGCGCCTCAGACGACTGGGCCACCCGTGCCCCCACAGAGTGAAGGAAATTAGAAGAATGGATAGTTAAAACAACAGTGATAACACCATATGTTCGCTAAATGGGTAACAAGCATGACCATTAGGAACCAACACTCACAATTGGCATAAACAGTACGTGTTTTTTTGACATATTAAAAGAGAAATAAACTTAAACATATCGACATTGTTCAGCAACAAATTTAAGGCACAAACTCACGAGCATCGTTCTCCATGACGGCCCCGAGGAAGCCTAATACGTTGCGGTGCTTGCCGATCTGTGTAGCAGCAAAGTTGATCTTAGCCAGCATCAGAAGGATGTCGTCCTCACTCTCCCGCACTGGGAAACAGAGATGAAGATATTGAATTTGATACCAGTACCACAACACTATAATGCAACGTCAACCCATTTTGATTAAATTTTGTTCACACCAAAAGTTAGTTTTACCTTTGAGAACCTTAGCAACCACATCCTTGACGTTCTTTGGTGTCACTGTCCACTTGGCCGTGTATATCTTGGCAAACTTGCCGGTAGCGATGACCTCTGTCAGGATGATATCCTCTGGAGGGACGTACCATGGCTCCCCAAGGTCCATGCGGCCGTAGATGTAGATATCGTCGTCCTTGGAGTATGTCGTGTTCTGTAGCAGATAAGGAGAGTTGTGTGCAGCTAACGGAAGTATATTAAAGGTAATTTTGGAGGGGTAGCTTTTTCGCTTTGTTTGTAATTCTTAACGATTCCTTACAAACCCAGTAGCCAGTTCTGTTTTGGAGAAAGATTATATCTTAATACTCTTATGCACATCGGAAAATACACAACGTTTTTAATCTTACAATATATGCCCATCTGCTGGCGCGATTTCTTTGTTTGAGAGCTGTGGTACCAGTTGAAGTCTCTACATGTGGCCTCTCCCTGTACTTCTTGTTGCGTTGAAGGAGACCACCGAGAAGCCCGAGTTTGAAAAGGACAAGGCCCAGGATAACGATTATCACTGTCAGCAGAATTATTACTCCTGGATAAAAAATACAACATTGTGTATTACATCCATCGATTGCGACGATTAAAATTCTATTGAAATAGTAAATCCTTATCATAGAAACAATTATTTAAGTTCATTTACCTATCACAATACCAGCTACTGCTCCACCTGAAAGTCCGTCAGATACTGCAACAGAGAATAGGAACTGAAGTTCGGTGAGGAAATGTATGTCACACTAAAATATATTCCTTATAATCTAAATAAATGTGACGTTTGATCCTGCGGATTTGACACCTGTTGTTTTTCATAAGCTACCAATTGTAGTTTGGTTACCGTCATGCTCTTGGCAACTGATTGATTATATAGTGCAGTGAAGGAGTGAGTTAGTTTGGTTTTAACCCGATAAACAATCAAGTCTGGACCAGACAATCCAGTGATTGACATCATGAGCATCGATCCACGCAATTGGGATACAATGACACTCATCAACCAAGTCAATGAGCGAGCGTGACCATCCGATCCCGATAGTCGCCTCATAGGATAATCATAGTCGACTGGGCCACCCGTGCCCCTATTATACAGGTGATAGTCCATTTATGAGACACATTACACAATAAATACTACTCCCAAAATGCAAAATAGTACTGAGATATATTCTCTCAAACCAAGCACCAAGTTGATCCTTAACATTTGCTAGCTAATCTTACCAAAACATGAACAGTAAAATATATAAAATATTCTCCAAATGATTGAGCCTTAGCCTATTACAAATCACTTCCATAGATTCAAAACTGCAAAATGTGAAATGTAATTACAATTGTCCATGATCGTCGTAAACACTCCTACACGGCTCTGTTTCCTCCATTTAACGGCAGCTATTTGTTCCTCCGAGAGAAGTCAATCAATCTTTAGCAATCAATCTTGTGTTAAGCACTTATGAGGCCACAGGCCTATAGGACATACAAAAGCTGTGCTGCAAACAATTTTAACATTACTTACAAATTTGGTTCGATACGACAGTGCGTGATACATACTACATGGCTAGTTTTGTGTTGTTTCTCAAGACTGTTTTACATATATCAGATTTACTCAATATTTGGATCATTTAAGTAATATAAGTTAAATATGCTGTTCATCCTCCATAGCGTTGATATTCCACATTTTATGTAATCGTCCTGATCTTGGCGTTTTTGTATATCGCCAAATCTCGATGCGTAAATAATTGGATGAGCATCACAATCTTGGCAATAAATTACGAAATTTCTTTCTATTCATACTTTACAACTGGTCAGTATTATCTGGGCGTCTTCAACATTCTCTAATATATAAACAATTGTTGGATAATGTAGCCTCTGTTGAAAAGAATTGATAAATACACGTTCACATTTCACACATTATTCATACCCAACATTTTGCATAACATTTGATTCCCATCATTTATGCAGGGACCACTTGTATCTGTCTCATATAACGTCATCATATTGTGACATTTCTTATGGTATCTCAATGAATTTATTTTAAGGAGTTTTAGCCAGTTCTTTATATCTTCTAATATCTAAGTAGAGGTAGTCCAATATGTATTTTAGATTTTGGTTTTGGGTCTAGTAAAAATGTGTTTCCAATTATCATAGTTACATTCTAAAGCATCAAATTGCCAAATGTGCTTCAGAAGATGATATTATCACCTGCAAATAATGAAAGATAAGGGTGAACAACATCTAGATTTAATGGAATACCTTTTGCAAAACTGCTTCGTGTTTGTGATGCTAATTAGTTTAGAAGGAAACTGAAAACGCAGTATACACCCTTGCCGCACTCCACGTTTTCATTCAAATATGTGATACATTAACCCTTGACACATACACTCATTTTCATTGGATAATAATTTCACGATTTGGAAACTAGGTCCACCCGCATTTGATAATCTCCAAAATTTGCACCTGTGTACAGAATCAAACGCTTCAGAAATGTTAACAATCAATGCAGAGAATTGTCCACCTTTCTTGCTACTAAAGCGCTGTATCTGAAAATGCAACATGCATACATTATCAACTGTCGAATATCCTTCCCTAAATCTAGCTTGAGATTCAGAAACATTATCAATATCAGTGACCAAGGACACAAGCCTGGTATTAATAATATAAGTAGATATTCTACTGAAAATAAACCTATTTATCGCCCTGTAGTTGACATTATTAGAAGCACAAAATTTCAATCGACAATGTTTCCGGGAAGTATCCATTATCAAACATCACATCAAATACCAGTTCTAATCATCCGAGTTCATAGATAATTAAGACATGGTGTCATCTATTCTATAAGCTTTGTTACATATTAGATGACGAGGCATTTAGAGAAAAATCTCAATGCAGAAGGCAAAAAACGTCGATGTTCAAATCGCAAAGCTTCACAATCAGAAAAACTGTTACCTGTTGTGACGGTCACCGGGACAGTCCTGCTCTTGAACTCCCCATACTGGGAGATGACCACGATGGTGTAGGTTGTGTCCGGCTGGAGGCCGACCAGAGTGTGGGAGGTCGCTGTCTTGTGCAGTAGGGTCATCACCGTCTGTCCATTCACCTCGTAGTTGATCCACATCTCTGTCCGATTGTAGCAGCTGAGGGTGTGTTTCCACGTCACAGTCACTAAGTTCGTTTCTTTCCTTGTGACAGTCACGTCTACGGGTGCTAGCGCTGAAACACACACAGAAGAGGCAACTTAGGTATCAGGCAGATACTGGAATCATCAAGGCATTGGATAATACTGAATCCTATTTTTTCTAATAAAAGCGACACAGCTCTTTCCAGTCCATTGTACGACATCCGATTATATCATATAACTAACAACAAAGAGTAAAGGAACTAATCGTTTGAATGTAGCTATCGTTGAGGTGTACATTTACAATACCGTGGAGCTGCATCTGATCGCAATATCTAATCACGATGAAATTTGACAGCATGAAATCTTAAATCAAAAAGTATAATTTGAAAAAAAACACAACCACAACCTACACTAGATCGTCTCATTACATGAACTGCACTTCGATATAAATTCAAATCTGCTCCTATTATCAGCAGAGAATTCCGTACAATAACCGGAAGTCGAATTTCAGCATTAATCGTTTGAAGCCGGATCACTGCAGCTGCCTTGAGGCAATCTGTCCTGTAACAGTTTACCACAGGCGATAGAGAATGATGTAGGCTAGGTAACATCAGGGACGGGGTGTAGCCATTTGCGTTACACCATGTTGAGAGACGAATCAAATTTTGGCCTCCGGTTTACAGGTTCCAGAAAACGTTGTTGGAGACGTAGCAGTGAGCCGTATGCCAGGGCAACAATTCTTCACCCAGATCGGTTTAGGGGCGGTAATGTCATGGTGTGGGATCTCACATGACTAGCGATCTGATCTGGCAATTAATTTTGAATGGACATTTGTCTGGCCAGGGATATGTTGACGAAGTTTTGAGTCCTGTTTTGCTAGAATTATCGGTAGAAGTTTTGAACAGTAGTTACTGCAAGATGACAATGCCAGGCGACATCGTGTTCAGGTCGTCACCGATTATCTCCGACGAGAAGGCATACAGACATTGGACTATCAATCGGGCATCTGTGGGATGTTTTCGGGCGGAGGGTGTACGCCGGAGACCCAACACCCACTAGCGTAGCCCGTCTTAAGGTAGCTCTTCGGACGGATTGATGGAGAATACCAAGGGCAACCATACGCCAGTTAGCAACAGTATGCATGCGCTATAAATTTATCAGTTCATTATTTTTTATCGGTAGTATAAAATCATGTTTGTTTGAATCCACAAAGAGGGGTGGCACCAGTTCTCAGAGAACCTTCACAAACACATGCAAAGGAAAGTCAAGTGTTCACTTGTACAAACGATAGGAATTGCATCCGATATCCCTTTAGTCGCTAGGTGGTGTGTTTCGAAGTCGCAGAGTGTAACACGGTGACACGGTGAAGGCACGGTGAATCAGCATCTATTGTATTTAACAAAGGCATTTAACTTTTAACTTTTTCCCTTTAATACACTACTTACATGCTTGTGTTCCATTCAACGTATCTAGTCTATCCACCTACAACAAAGAAAAGTGCTATATTAATAGAATACCCCTGTGGTATTTCCGGTTAGGATCAGTACTCACTAACCTGGCATGGCCGTAAGAGACGACCATAAGGATCGGGTGGTAAGGGTGAGTGACGTGGTTGATTGACCCGACGGCGTGGATAGTTGTGCATAATGTGGATCACTGGGTTGTCTGGTCTAGACTCGATTATTTACAGGCTGCTGTTATAAAGCTAGGATATTACTGAGAGCGGCTTTAAAAACAAAACATTAAGGGAATATATCCTACATTGAATACATTAACACTCTTAGTGAGACAGGCCCGTGGAGATCCGGGGTAAAATAGGTCTTCAGCACACCATGCTTGCCTTAAAAGGCGTCCATGCTTGTCGCAAGAGGTGACTAGCGGGATCTGGTGGTCAGGCGTGTTGACTTAGTTGATGCATGTCATCGTATCCCAATTGCGTGGATCGATGCTCATGATATCAATCACTGGATTGTCTGGTCCAGACTCGATTATTTACAGACCGCCGTCATATAGCTGGTATGTTGCTGAGTGCGACGTTAAACAACAAACCAATCTTTTTTAATACAAAACGTACAGCATGCCACCATGACTATCATGCAACTATTTCTGTTTCTGTGTATATTTATTTTTTGTTAATTGTGTTAAATTATATTATATTAAACATACATGACATGAACGTCGTATTTGCAAGCAAATCTGAAACTCTATTTCATGCGACAGAATAGAATCGTTTTCATCATTACCCTTTGTCCAACATTAAGACCTGATATCAACCACACTCACAGTAAAGCTCCTTGTTGTATTGATGCCCGCCATGTTCACAAAATTCATGTCCATAGTCACCGTCTGTCCTTCCAACATTGGGTGTTTTAACCAACAGTTGCTGATGGGCAGAACCTGTGTCTGGTTGAAGCAGACTGGATTGACGGTAGTACAGTAACACGTTGTAAAGCTGTTACACGCCTGTGGAGAAAGTTTTGTTGTAAGGCAATTACATTCGAGACCATTTTTTATACAAAGAAGCAATAAAATGAGAAACGGTTCTCTCAAAGGTACTTACATGTATGGTTCTGAGAGGCAAAGTTTCATTAACAATCACTAGGTCGTTTTTCACTTTCCTGACGAAAAGGTCCACACGTTTCAGACCGCTCTGCATGTCCCGAACATTTACTTCAACACTGAAATCAAAGGAGGGACTATTTAATTATTTGTTCTGGAATATAGCAAAATGATCTTTATGATTAAAACAAATAACGTCATTGTTTCAATGAAAGCGATCGTTTTGAAAAATATGTCAAAATATATATTTAAAAGGACTGGTGTGAGAGTACATTATCATATGGTTGTAATACTATTTTACTGTTATTTTAAAAACATGAATTATTTGCTGTGATGACGGATGTTTCGCAACAGAAAGAAGCCAATATTCTTTCAGCAAAGGGCCCGCTAGTCACTGAACTTGAAGTCTAAAAAACCTGTATTCTTTATCTAAATGCCATAAGTTGTTCTGAGCTCTACTGCAGTGCCACCTATTCCACCCAGGCAACATAATTCAACTAAATGCATACATTCTATGCCACGAAAGGTTTTTAACACACGACGGGCAGACATGACGACAGACAGATGACAGGCAAGTCATTGAGTGGTGATGTTACAAAAATCACAATGTAGTTTAACAGAAACTCACGTTGAACTAAATGGTGCATTGTTCGTCTGGATGTTCCTCCTGAACACAGGCTGCTCGGCTTCAGGCGGTGTATCATCAAAGTGAACCCTGGTAGAATCTATCCGGGTGTTACCTAGGACATCTGTAGCTCTCACCCAAACTGTTACTGTGTCTCTGTTCGTCAGTGAAGCTACAAATGGACGTGTCAATCATAATGTTTATTCCTCATTATATATTTTAGTTATGTAAGGACTCTTTACATGATTAAAATGAATTAAATGATAATAAATGAATTATTTACCCCGATAAATTAACTATTGTAGCATATCATTTTCTGCAGAAAATTGTGTTAAGATAACACACGAATAATTTGCACTGCTAAAAGGAAATAATAATATTTTGACATATAGTAACCAGCATGTATGGTGTATGTTTCAATGAGTCCGACATCAACCCAGTCTGAATCTGATGTTGGTATCGTCTGATTCATGCCATCATTGCTGTCCTTCCTATTGGCAACCTCAAACTTGACAACACCTCTCTTGTTTGGTATTGCGTCTACTGTCCGCTGTCCGTCGTGGTCATCCTGTCCGGAGTCTTTAGGGATGTCCTTCAAGAAGTCTTCGAGCTGTGGGGGGTAGGCGCGGACTTCGTTCAACCACTTGCCCTCCTCATGCATCAGGTTCACAAAGTGGTTGGTCCATGTAACCGTGACGGGTCTAGAAGGATCATCTTGCCAGTTGTATCCCCCTTTAGGATCGGCCGAAGATATGTACAGTCGGTTATCTGCCCCTGTATCTATGGAAACGTTAGAAACAGGATCGTATATGGCGATCCTCCTTACAAAGACAGAGTTATTGGCCTTGTCGGAGGCCTCCAGGATGAAGGAGTACACTCCAGGCTGTGACGGTGTGTAGTTGGCCTGAAAGGAGTTGGAGGCAGATGAGGACTGACTGACTTCAATAGGTCCATGTATAGGCTTCAAGGGTTCAAATTCTTTTAGAAGTTGATTTCCGTCCACCTGTAGTTTGAACACTTCCCAGGCGTAGCGGTGCATGCCAGAAGGAACATCAGTCCAGTTGGACCAGCGGAGACTTACTGGATTCTGAGAATGAAATATATATAACATGTACCTGTTCCAAGTTGAGAATTATAAGACATACACATGTTCATGATCTTCCAACTCCTGAATGCAAAGACTACATTAAAAGCCCTTACCATTTCATATCCAGTTTAGTTTCAAAGAGGGCTTATGTTCAGCAGTCCCGAGATTAAGCGAGGGACAGAGAAAATTATTTCACGAGGGACATACATTCATCAGTATCGGTAATTAATGAAGTACGTTTACTTCGTTTTACAATTAGAATGTTATTGATTTATAAGGGAGGCATAAATAAATTGTTGAGAGACCTTAATATTTGCGTGCGTGCGTACGTGCGTGCGTGTTCGATTCAAACATTTAAAATCATTAGGATATCTTGTCAGATATGTCAGTGGGCGGATTATTGTATTTACTTCGTTTCACAATTAGAAAACGAATAACTACATTTCACTGTCCGAGACCCTTCAAAGTTAAATCTCTTCACATCTGCTCAACTATTCAACTTACAGTGTACAGTATTCGTATATTTTCGTACTTTTTCGTCGATACGTGTACTTTCAAAAGCGACTTTATTCCGTTAAGACCTAGAACAATTTTACAATAATAAATTTGTATATCCGGGCAAATGCTCACAATTTTGATTGAATGACTATACCTTCAAAGGTCTTTGTAATCAAGCGTATTAAGAAGTGAATGAATGACTGATTCAAAAGTAGTTCCAGAAAGGTCAACGGTCGAAGGTCAGCCAATCAAGTTCCATACAAGTATTGAGACACGCGTTTTCCATAACAATTTGGTATGATACGATGTTAAACAGTTTACTAAACAACCTTAAAAATTACTTTCGAGAACATTTGCCATGACAAACGTCATAAATGATATTAAATATATCGTATAAATTGTAAATACAAAGAGCTTTGCTTCAAATTCACAAAGTAAGATTAAGATAAATGAATTAATATTTTCTGCTGTCAGCAACTCGTCATTCCAATACATTGGTGTCAGCAAAACAGTATTCTGGTTGTATCACGGTTGTATTAAGTCTTGCTGTGGGAAGAAAAGTGACGCAAGTCTCAGACGTCTACCAGTTATGGAGCTGACTAACCTAGATAATCGGGGTGAAACGGGATTTGAGCCTACATTCAAATGTTTCTGGTGTGCCAAAGGGACACAACGAATTGCAGCGCATCAGACGACTGAGCCATCCGTGCCCCCCAAAGACCTTCACAAATATCTCATGATGGGTGCGAGACCTGAATATTTGTGCGTGCGTACGTACTTGAGTCACAGACTGGAAATCATTAGGACTTCTAGTCTAATGTGCAAACACGATTGTTATTGGGAGGACGACATATTCAGGTATATTCATTTTTTTTGCGAAGTTGGCGACTAGATGAAACGTTAGTCATTAAAACATATGCTAAATGGCATTATAACGTGACGCTGTATCACTTCACTATTATACAGTTACGAGGAAACAAATACATTGTCGATAAACATTATGTTTGATGACAACTCCTGTAATATCAGTTGTCTGCCAGTGTGGATTTTTCTTTACAAATGATGATTGTTACCTTCGTCACATCTTGGCTCAATGAAAATGGTCTATCTGTACAGGATGACGCTGGTCCGAGGCAGCTGTAAGTTGGTTTGGTGAAGTCGAAACGGAACTCCATTGACTGGTCAACCATATGCCCCGTGTACAACTGGTTCCCTCTGTCTCGAAGTCCACTTACAGTTAATTCCTGGAGTTCTCGGTAACCCCCGCTCCATGCCGTGAATGTTAATGTCAGTCTGAGGTTGTGAAAAAAACGATGCATAGAGAGAATGAATAGTTGGGCTTTTTATTCTTTTTATCTGAATTTCTTCAAGCAAGCTTAAGAGTATTAAAACAAAAAATATGTTGACCTTGCACGCTTGTCATGATGGCATTTTTGTCAACAGATATACCCCCTCTTTCTTCTGATATGAAGGCATGTTTTTTTACTGCGTATAACATCATTCTGAAATTGTTTTTTAGAAAACTGTCATGTTAGTAAGTGAACAGTTAGGGAACAGTTTAGAGCCTGTTTCTGACACAAATTAACCATGTAGACACGTTCACTTGAATGAGCCGCGCCTGTGCACGCACATTCTTGAAAGAATTACACATATGTACAAATACACCTAAATGAACAGCCCATCTCCAGATATAAACTTCAACGAACCGCGCATATGCACAATTAAACTCCACTTAACTGCCCATCTGCACACTTACACTGAATGAACACGTATGCACACGTATATTTGAATAAACCTCGTTTGCACATTTTGTTTCGAGTTACCGCCCATTTGCACACATAGACTTGAATGAATCGCTTATTTCAACGAATGAACAACGCATGGGAACAGGTACACTGATTAATATGGTTGGATGAACCACGAATGTATTCGCATACACTTGAATAAACCGCACGTATGCACACATAGAGTTCAATGCAACAGTAAGTGAATTTCCTGAAGTCAAATATCGAATATGTTTACAGCTAGTAACAGTAAGTAAAGGAACCTGTTTCTGTTAACTGAGTTTAAAAGTTTGACGATTACTTCAAAAGTGACGCTTGCCGAAAGTGCTGTGAACTATTATGGTTTGAAAACTAAGAATCATTATCAGGCCACATCTGGACTTTGAGAAGCGGATCGTACCACAACTAAGGGACACACAACGAATTGCGGCGTCCTTGGCTACTGGCCCCTTTTATTATTAACCACAACAGAGGAACGTCTTGAGAGTTAAGCATACTGGATTTTGTTTCGGGATTATCTCACGTTTCAACTATTTGTTTTAAAAACATAGTCCAGCACCAAACAGTGCACGGTAGGTTGCCTTTCCAATTAAGGTCACAAAAGTAAGCTTATTTCTATTTTATCATCAGGTTGTGTTATAAATTACAAAAGAACAATAGTTGACTTAATTTTGTATCGTTCCCAACATGAGTTTGGTTATTACTGGACACGTTCTAATGCAGAAATGTTATCACTTTTAATTCATTGCATATACCATTTTTATGGCATCAAATTCGACAGCTGTCGAAAAAAGATATTTATAAATTCATATAATACATCCATCTTTCATAATGAGCACACATTACGAATAAAGGAGCATGACATATTTTGTAATACAATAACCAATACCTCTTGGCTATGTTAGAAAATGTTCATGGAAGTAATTATCGACTTTGCTCTTGGCTTACCTATCTCCATTTTCCAGAGATCTGTCATAGTCCGGCTTGGTAATGTCACAGTAGTAGGTGTCGGAGGTGGGGTTGAGATCAGACACTTCCGGTGTACAGGGCAGAGTTGTGTCAAGACTGACAACAGGGACTGACCCTAGAAGAAAGATTGTAAGTGAGTAGGTATTTTAGACAATCGTGTAACTTTGGTATTAGTACATTGGCTGATTTGGTTTGATACAGCATGCACGCCTGTAGATTTTGATACATGAACGATACTATTTCTAATGATGTCTTATACAGCAAATGAATGTTGTTGGGGGCATGAAAGAAACAATATTGAATTTTTACAATGAAGTACCCTGATAGTGCTAATCAGGAATGTGTTGTGTCTGAAAAGTGTTTTCATAGTCATAATATAGTATGTTATACTACTACTACTACTACTACTACTACTACTACTACTACTACATTTGCTGTTTCAACTTTGATTTGGCTACTTTTGGGAATTGCAATCAATAAGTAGTAAAGAATCATTTATCGGGGAACCAATTGCATGATTACGATGTTAGATTGAGCAGGACTCGGGCACCCTTCCTTTCAGCAATTCTACACCTTGAAAATTAGAATGTAGTTAGGCACCTGGCTATGTTAATCTTTAATGCAAGTTGCTTGAGAAAGATCCATGTTGACTGATTATTTCTATTGTTAAATATGTTAGTCAGTAGCTATAATCACTGCCAATATGTACATTGCCTGAATGAATCAGCTGATATACATATTTTTAGCCAATGTACTTACTGCCTGATTATAGACATTAAGTGCAACATATGTATATTGTGCTGACCACCTTCATATGGACTTCTAAATGAAGGCAAGCTTGAAAAAGTGAGACTTTAATAAGCGCTGAAAGATCTGTAAAGTTGGAGAAAGTTCGAATGGGAGATTGTTCCACTCAGCTGCAGCAGCAAAGGAAGAGGAGCGTTGAAAACTCGATGGATAAATATCGTTTGTAATAAATGTATGTTCATAATTCTAATTCATCTAACTTAGGCATTCCTTGATCAACATATACCATGAACTGTTACTCACCCGTCAAAGGCAGCTTCTCATGATGAATGTCAACTTCAGCCTTTGCAATTCCGATGCCATAGCTCTTGATGAAGGCAGGTGACTCAGGTAGGTTTGTAGCCATGTAATGGGCAGACGCAGTGACGTTCACCCAGTTAAATCTTTCCCTGTTTGTCCACACGGAGTCGGAGACATTGGACATGGTTGAGTCCACGTACAAAGAATACTTCTCCATGGTCGGCATCCCGGTACCCCTCTGCCAGAAAGACAATCTGGCGCCTATCTCAAATATCTCTGGCTTCTCGGTTGATTCCACTGTAATAAAAATGTGTAGCTATATGTACAATTATCGTGGGAATTCCGTCGCTAGCTAACCAATGCATCATCACACTGTTTTTTCTTTGTAATTTGGAATCTATCCATTTTGTCCAGTTATGTCTAGAAAATTGTATTAGTAAAGGAATGGTTTCTTTAGAGAACGACTGCTGAGCCATTTTATAAATTTTGGACTTTGTGGTTGGGAGGAATATGGCGATGGGGCGTAATTGTCTTTGTAATTGACCTAACTTAGCTATGTAGAAATAATGAACCAGTACATTTTCTGCAATAGTCACTCGGACTGCTTGATAGAGACTGGAATCCTGATGAACAGTCACAGTTGGCACTGGTGCCTGGGGTACAGATACCGGGGAAACAGGGCCGCACGTAGTTACATACCACTGAAATAATAAGAAAACAATTCTAAATATAGAACAAGATCTAGATGACATATGGTTTATATATCAATTATAAGGTGAACACAAGATTGTTATTTTGTTTCTCATTAAAGGTTTGTCGGTCTCCTGTGCTGCTTCAGTTCTACCATCAGGTTAACCGGAAGTTAGGGCCTGCTGTAATTAGGATGATGACTTCTTGGATGCAACCTGATTTGTTTAGATGGTCAGCTCGAAGACAGAACCTGTACATGTGGCGTGCCAAATCAGTCCTATAAACCACAGACGTCAAGCTCCAGGATATCACCTTTACATTTAGGATGATAGTCTTCGATCTATTATGACCTGCAGACCTGGGATTGTAATCTGTATGAGAGAATTTTAAGAATTATATATTCTGGAGAGATTGAATAGTAAGTGCCAGGATACCTAGCAATAATACTTGATGATAGTACCCAGGTTCTGAAACAGATCGTTAGGGTAGCAGCTGCATATTAGGATTTGCAAGCTTCAGTGTAGGGGATACATATAGCAATAGTCTTGGAACGAGGAGCTACATGCACATGGCGTTGGCCAATAAATATTCTCTTGAGCAGACATGTTCTCAAAACATGACATGGCATATATGAAGCCCGTTGAAAAGACTGGCCACTTTTGATGCTTAAATAGTTTCAGTTTGGTGGTGCTCAAAACAAATAGATAGTTTTCAAAACAACATTCGCACTCTTTGGTCCATGCCTGAATGGCGGAAATGTTTTTGCCTAAAAGATATGTCCAAAGCATTATGCAAACAGGCACCCGACTTCAGTCAGTGGCAATTCCGGAAGAAGTAGGTTTTCCAGCCACTGAAGCAGAAATTATTGCAGAAGACCAGGCGAAACCACATTCTTCATACATGAACTGATTTTACCTTAATGTAGCTACTGTAGTCTACATGTAATTATAAGTAAGTATTCCATCCACCAATCGTTCAGATTTTATGTTAAATGAAACACACTGGTTTACAATTTTACTATTTTAAGTTTCTCTTGCTAGTAGTTTTACCCTTGTAAGGAGGGTGTCACATTAGCGCATTAACAATACGTACACGTGTTGCACGTCGGTCCTACAGCTCCATCATTACACTGACAGGTGTTGGGTCGCACACAGGTACCTCCGTTCTTACAGGAAGGGTTGCAGATTGCTGGAAATACAATACCAAACTAATACATTATTCTCACAAGGGCTTTCAACACAATCGTTAAGTGCCATCATATAGTAGAAACGAAGTTGACTGTTTTGATTGAAAGACAAACCAGCTATGAAAAACTATGTTTAACGACAGCATATATGCTGCATGTATAGGAATTATACTGATTTGTGATTGCTATGTATTTATCATAAGTTAAGTATTACAACATGTTAAACAGGGACCAGTCTTACGTCGGTTACAGTTCTCAGAGGAGGAGGTTGTCCAGCCACTGCAGCAGAAATTTTGCACCTGATAATCCGGCACCGCACACAACCTCCATCGACAGCATCTGAACAGAGGAAGCAGAAGATGTATACCGTTACATTGATGACGACAAACATCAGTTGTTGCAATTAGTACACATATAGTATAAATATTGATGTTATGGATATTCTATAAACTTGGATTAAGGTAGAACTTTAAACACATGTACACTATAAGGAAATTGTGTAATCATAGTAAACGACTGAAAGAGAGAATGCATAAATTCAAGGAATATTTCACCATATAACTGTTCATGTAAATGACTGTTATCACATGCACAAGGTGCACTTACCCCAGCCAGGTCCGATACACACATCGCCGCACACTTCTGTACCTACAGATTGTACGAGAACAAACGTTTCTGAAACAAAGACATAGGAGTAACCACATGAGCAAGCGTGACGGACAATATGAAACTTTGTGACACTGATCAACAGGATTACACAATGAAATCGTAAGCATGTGTTTATAAATCACTATCCAATAGTGACGATACAATGTGTGGTGGCAAAAAGGCAAGCGTAACATGACCCAATGGTGATATCCGTCACAAGCAGTTGCAATGCAAGTCAAGTATTCACCTGAATACAGACTTGAACATATGGTACGAGTCATTGTTCCACTTTTAACAGTTTTATTCCCGTCGTTATCGTTTTGTGAGGATTCAAATGGTTGCATAGTGTTGTATGATAACTAACTACACTCCGGTAGGAATTATACATGTTTTGAGTGAACTATAATCCCAAATGAAGAAGGATTTACCTGTATTTATTCCGGAACATACACTATTGCTTTCTGTTATGATCATTTTTCTTTTCTGCACGTTTCGTCACTCTACACTCACTCTCATGGGGCTTCAGGCTTCTTTGGGCCGTGATATTGCTGGAATATTGCTAAATGCGGCGTAAAACCATATTCGTTCATTCATTCAGGCTTCTGTCAAAGCTTTTGTGATTTCTTGCTTATTTCGTCACGTTCGTGTTCCTGATGCAGATGTTGAGTTTACTTTTATGGGATTTTTTACATCTTTTCTAATTTGGTTAATTAACAATCATGGTGATTAAGATTGTCTTGGAGATAATTCAAAAACCGTCTCCCAAGGAAATTATTCAATACATTGCTTATATTTTCGTACAACGACAGAGTTTTACTAACTTTATATTTTGACTTCAGTCAAACTACTATGGTCAGATAGCCTTATGGGCACCTCATGTATTCAAGGATCCTAGTCATCCTTTTCAATGCAGGGAACACATCCCATTCAGTTCAGAGAACTCATCCCGCCCAGTGCAGCTAATACATCCCATTCAGAGCAGAGTATACATCACATTCCGTAAAGCGTGTGTATCAGGTCGTGTTATTGTTTACGTGTTACATTTTAGCTGTATACGCGTTTCCGTGATGTCATATCATGACGTCACAGGTTTCTGCGTACGCCACTGAATAAATGGCCAGATGTGTTTTCACTGGGTTAGCTGAAAGTGGATGTTCAAAACATGACACATAACAAACACTGACCATTACTGGTTCACACCCACTGTCCACACTTACAAGCTGACCAATAAGAATTTTATAACTGATTACATGTGTGTGTGTGTCCTTATCCACACTGACCAATACCGATTACATAAGTATGTTTTCATCAACACACTGACCAGTACTGATTACACAAGTATGCATTCGTCCACAAACTGACCAATACTGATTACATGAGAATGTATTCATCCACACACTGACCAATACTGATTACATAAGTATGTATTCGTCCACACACTGACCAATACTGATAAAACAAGAATGTATTCATCCACACACTGACAAGTATTGATTACCTAAGTATATATTCATCCACACAGTGACCAATACGTCTAAGCCGTCCACGGCGCCGTCTAAGGCGCCGCAATTCGCTGTGCAGAGTTGCGTCCCATGGGCACGCCAGAAACCTATGATTGTGGGTTCGAATCCCGGATCGCCCCGATTATGTTTCTAGGTTTGTCAGCACCATACCCGTGCTCGTGGGTTTCACCGAAATGGTAAACGTCTAAAACCTTCATCACTTCGGGCTTTCCTCCCACATTAAGCTTACACGTCGTGATATGACTGGAATACTGTTAAAAGCGGCGTTTACCCCAACTCACTCACTCACTCACTCATCCACACACTGACCAATACTGATTACATGTGTGTGTCATCTACACTATATTTAGTGTCGTTGTTTATAGTCTTATTTTGTAAATGGGTCCAGCCACATACAGAGGCAGTCGATGATGCCAAGTTACGTATCGTATATGAATACGTTCAAATCCCATAGACAAGCATCCTAAACTCAAGGACATATGAAACCCCACATTGTATACTTTCAAAGCCAAAACATAACAAAGCTATATTTTGTAACGGCGATTACTGTATTTCAAAACAGGTTAAGTTTACATGTTTGCATAAACACTGACAAAACTCAAGCAGAAGATTCGATGCAGAGAAAGTCAGTCGTCTTTTGGCGTGCACAGGGATCAGACGCAATTCTGCCTGCAATGTGTCTCTGGACGTGGCTGACGATGCCTAATCTGTCGTCCCAAGTGGTCCCACAGATGTTCTGTTGGAGACATGTCAGGAGATCTTGTCGGCCAAGGTTCACGTTTTTGGCGTTGACAAATGCTCTGGTAATGCGGGCTGTATGAGGCGTGGCGTTATCTTGCGGGAATAACGTTTGCGAGTGACGTTGAAGAAATGGCAGTACAACCGGCGCTAACACTTCAGTGATATAGCGTGCAGCGGCTCTCAAACCATAGTGACGAAGTCGTCTGGACAGTCGTTCTGATGATGAGATGACGATTTGTTCCTAAGGCGAAGCAGTCGTAAATGGATGTCTTGCTGAGTGGCAGTAACTCAGGGCCTACCGCTCCTCGGCTATCTGCTGTTCCACATGTCTGCCAAAACCGGCTGACTAAACTCAGTATCGTCCTTCTCGAACAACCCATTACCCCAGCAACATGGGCCTGCGTTGCCCCGAAATCCAACATTTCCATTGCCCTTTATCTGTTCAAATATTATCGAGGCATGACCACTTTTGGTAACTGGATGTGCCATAAAATATTTTCGCACCCTTTATATTCCAGATTTTCATACGGGTATCTGTCCAAGGGTTATGACTTTTTCCGAGCAGGAAGGGTATATTCACACCCAGCACGTGCTTTTGCTCATGTCAGTGAAAGATTTTAATCTATATTAAAAGGTATTTTGTCATTGGTTGAAAATATATTGAAAACAATACTTGAGGTGACGTTTCTTATGAAAGCAAAATCGACGAATAATATTCCTTACTTCTTCATGTAGCCTGCCATTATTAATGTTTAGTCAACTAGGAGCGTAGAAAAATGCTCATGTAACGAATATTTACTTCTGACCACTCAAAGGTGAGCACAAGGTATGTCTTTAGATGAAATATGAACTAGCCTGATTTGTGTGAAAACAAGAACAAATGATACCCGTGAAGATTCGTGGTATAATAGGCCTTCAGCAACCAATGCTGGCCGTAAAAGGCGACTATCCTTGCCGTAAACGCCGACTATGATTGTCGGGTGGTCAGGATCTCTGACTTGGTTGATGCATGTCATCGTATCCCATTTGCGTGGATTGATGCTCATGATGTCAATCACTGAATTGTCTGGTCCAGACTCGATTATTTACAGATCGTCGTTATACAGCTGGAATATTGCTGAGTGCGGCGTTAAACAACAAACGAACGAACGAACAGTAACACGTGAACATTAGAGGCATCAGGGGAAGCGTTTATAGGTTGTTGTGGCAGGGTGTTTGTCCCATACATTGTTAAACAAGGACAGTCAAGAATGCATCACAGTTATTACAGAAATAAGTCTAAGTACTTTACGTAATATAGGATTATTATTTCAATGCGTGCTGTGTCATATACACTAACCGAATAATTCTCTTTGAACTTAAGGATATATTTCACATTCGTTGCCAACATTATTTCAAATGCATTTCTATTTTGAAACGAAAAAAACACACGACTTCATGTACAACTCATTGTGAATTTCTGGTTCAATGCCAAGTAGCAATTGGTCACTTACCCACTCCATTGGATGCTGAGGTCGATCAATCCCGCCAGGATCAGCAGCTGAAAGATGTAGGTTGTCTTCATGCTGGAGTAGAACCAGCTCCAGCTAACTCTGTTCTTGTTCCCGGTAGTATACGGCGCAGTGGGTGGACACCGACTGAGGGCTGCGACCCTTGCCCAGGCAAGCTATACTCGACAGACAAGGAAGTGATATTTAGTATCGCGATCCCGTTACAAGTAATCTGTGTGCACATCTTAGAAAGCCAACCCCATCCCCCCCCCCCCCCCCCCCACACACCTTTATGATCTCAAATGACAATTTGTTGCATATATGCATGACAGACACGACGACAGAACACGCTCGATGGCCTCATGGTGCCTGTCTCAGGGCATAAACCCCGACATGTTTGGGCTTGGATGGTGGTTGGGATGGGTGGTTGGCGGATGAGTTGGGAGTGTAGAGTGGGTGGGTTGGGGGCTTTTCCTCTCCCCTTTTTTCACCATTGGATCCACATGAATGTATATTAACTATACTGTCATTACAGATATGCATATTATCCTATACTTGCATGTATCTACAATATACTGTATTTTCATGGAATTAATATACATACTCACACGCAAAAGAAGCGCAAGTCGAGTATGCAGTATACATGTTATTTATTTTCAACAGTAAAGACAAGAAATATTAATGGGGCAAGATTGACAAAAAATTGACATGAGACAGTTTAATGGATTAAAAGGCAGATGCCATAATTGTTGTTTTTTTCAAATGTTAAGGGCTTACACAGTTTCGGATCAATACACAAAATATCAGTCAATACCTGGTGTGACCACCATTAGCATTGATCACTGCCACACATCTCCTGTACATGGAGTGGATCAGACGATTTGTGAAGGCCCTAGGGATCCTCCTGCCCACATCCAGAGCAGCTGTGCGTAGTTCATCGGCAGTTGTAACGACTGGGCGCACATTGTGCAGACGCCTTTGTACCTCATCCCACAAGTGTTCGATGGGGTTCAGATCAGGGCTGAGGGTTGGCCACGGTAGAACACGGATATTGTGTTGTTGCAGAAAGGCCATGGTAGCTCTGAGGGCGAGCGTTGTCCTGCTGGATAATGTGTTGTTGATGTTGTGCAAAAAATTGAACAACGTGGGGTCTGATCACTTGGTTGACATACCGCTGAGCAGTGATGCCGTGGTCCCGACCTTGACCAACATTCAGAAAGCACATGGGTCCAAGTCTCGCATTAGGTCCAATCCCTGCCCATATCATGACGCTAGGTCGAATCCATGGATCCCTTTCCACGACGCCGCCAAATTCTGACTCTTCCGTCCGCATGGGAGACACAAAAGCGACTTTCATCAGAGAAGATGACACGCTTACACTCACGATGACGCCAATTGTGATGAATTGTGATTCCCACTGAAGTCGTGCTTGTCGATGCCGTGGTTGGAGAACAGGACGACGTGCTGGTCGGCGACATCTGAGGTTGTTGGAACGGAGACGTCGGATCAGTGTCCCGGCTAATGTGTCGATAATGTGTTCCTTTGGTCTGTCGGGCAACACCTTGGACAGACTCTCCAGCTTCCAAACGTCCGATAGCCGGATTTCTCTAAATTTGAGTTAGGCGTGGCATTGTTGACCAAGGAGTGGTAGGTAGGTCCAAGAATCGGCCACAGTTTTATATCCACTACAGTTCGTGACAGTTCGTTCATTTTCGATTTCGCGAGAAATGGGTGCATGATACCCATATATTCATTGAAATTGTGCGTTTTGGCGATTCGTTTTTTATGTTGCGTTTTTACTCGGGGCTTCCAAAATGCAACCAAAAATATTGATAACACTATCAGGCTTCACCTCATGCTAAAACTCGTATCAATTTATGGCTCTGTGTTTGTTGCCTATTTGTTTAAAATCACTTGCGTTTGTTTTGCGTTTGAGTACACTATACTGTACTCACATGTATGTAGACTAAACTTAGTTGCATGTATGTATTCTATAATGTACCTACATGTATATTTTGCCTTGTACGCCCACTGGAATGGTTTCGGCAGATAATCGAAACTACTTGTTTTCTTGCGTTGACAGTTCATATTTTCTTGAAGTGGATCGACTGTTCTGCTGCAGGGCCGAATACCCCATAGTTCATCATAAACACACCAGCATTTATCTGTGCTGAATGAACTACGAAAGAAAAATATATGTTTGGGTCGAGACTTTTAACAACAACCTCCCCCCCCCCCCCCCCCCCCCTCTCCCCCACTGCAAAACAAACATATCTTTCAAACGCTTTTCGTTATCTATGAGCATCAGTTTTGGGTTTCAAGAAAATCATTGCGAATTTTAATGCAAATTGTGTGAGTGCGGATGTTACTGGTAAGGCTGTAATATACATCCTTTCTAGTTGTATAGGCTCATTTCAGCCACCCCTCCTACAATGTCGTGAGAGGCATAATGGACAACAATTGCTTTTAACGATTGAGTTCGTCGTGGATGGTGATACGTGCTCTGTCGTATCCATGGGAAGTAGGGACCGCCTCTGTTGTGCAGTAGACAGAACGTCCGTCCGTGAAGGTCGTTGGTTCGTTCATCGGCCGCGTGGCCCAAATACGTTAAAGATTAGTACCTGTTATTACCCTGCCTCTGGTGTTATCAAAGGAGGACTGGTCGGCTCGGAGTGAGTATACATTGTCGGGGCTAGTATAAGCAGCCACACACACACGAATTCTATCCTGCGGAATTCTGCGCCATTCAGCTTGTAACGCGTTGGCCAGGTGTGGGAGCGTCTGCGGTGTTATCTGACATTGACGTACACGTCCATCGAGTACACCCGAGAGGTTGAGATCTGGAGATATCGACGGCCAGGGCAAGACAGTGATGTTGACATCATGACGGTTGTCTCTCGTGACACGAGCTGTGTGCGGTGGAGCACTGTCCTGTTGAAACAGCTCCCTCTGGCGGTCAGTGATTGGAAGAAGGTGAGGTTGAAGAATTTGATTCAAAGCGTTTGGCTTTCAATTTTCCCTGAACCTCAACCAAGTCACATCTTGTGCTGTTTTAGTATTATATGCCCACCCCCACCCCCCCCCCCCCCCCCCCCCCACCCCCACACACACACACTCACTCACACACACACACACACACACCACACACCATGAAATTGTCGAATTCAATGGACGATGTGGGGCAAAACGCTCATTTCGACGACTTTTAACGCGTTGTCTTTCATCTAGCCGGTGAAGAAGAAATCTTGATTCATCGCTTAACCACACTCGTCTCCAGTTTCTGACATTCCAAGGCTGTAAGGTATGGCACCAACACAAGCGTCACTGTCGATGATCTGTTGCAAACCAGGGACGATAAGTGATCTTCGGGGTCGGATTCCAGCCTCGCTAAGATGGTTCCTGAGAGTCATGTCCGATATCCTCCTCAAACCAGGGATGCGTCCTACTGTCTCCGTAGCTGTGACATTGTGATGACGTAGGTGGAACAGTCGAATGTAGCGATCCTGTAAAGGGGTGGTAACTCTTGTTCGGCCAGTTCTCGGGCTGTCTCGAGTGGAATTGTGCTCTGTGTTTCGGTCACAAAGGCGGCAAATGGTGCTGTGGTTGACGTTTAAGTGGCGTGCAACAGAAGACTGCGATTCCCCTCATTGGATACGGGGGCGGTCGGGTAGCCTAGTGGTTGAAGCGTTCGTTCGTCACGCCGAAGACCCGGGTTCGATTCCCATGGGTACAATGTGTGAAGCCCATTTCTGGTGTCCCCTGCCGTGATGTTGCTGGAATATTGCTAAAAGCGGCGTAAAACCATACTCACTCACTCACACTTTGGATACGTGCTGTGGCGATGTTCCGATCGGCAGCGCTGAGCCATAGCATTTTCGAACTTGAAAAATGTTGACAATTGAATGACAAATTATTGACTTGTGCTTGCCTTTTAATAGCCACAACGACAAGTTACGAAAGCCATATCTTGCACGTGCATTTTGATTTACTGTTTTCCTCAATGACATTTTTTAACAAATTATTTATTTATTTATTTATTTTGCAAATCGACAACGACTACGTATTGACGCACCGTTTGTCGAATATCAGGCCAACAACATTTTCCAATAACATATATCCAATTTAGATACCGGATGTTTTGTTAAGTCAGGTTCAGTGAACTACACTCGTTTCTTTTTTGAAGAGTGTATATTAACTGATAGAGCCTTGTGCCACATAGTTGCGTTTATATACACTGCTCTATCAGTGGCACAATTGAAGTATTCATACCTTAAGAGCATGTCAACTCTACTGAGCTGTCAAGGACTTCATATGAACTTAAACAGAAGTGTATGCATCTCCATATTTGTCAGACATTAGTGAGCGTGACCTTTCTGGTGTCAAGCTTAAACGGAGACGCGATAGACTGGGAACATGCACGTTATAATGTAGATATGCATATATTAGCGTCATGAAGGACAGGGGACTCAACTGTATCTTTTCGTGACTACCGCATTTGAAACAGGACACGGGTCTTATCTACACGTGACTTCCGCATTTGAAAGAGACACCATGCTCAAATTTTAATCCTTGATTAAAATAGTAGAAAGTTTTTCACTTTCTTTTCGTTGGAATGTTTTGTTCCTGGACACGGTTTTATAACTTATTGTTTCAAAGGAGTTATTTATAACCATGGTTTCGGGAATTGCCATGACACTTGGAGCAATGTATCCGAAAACTGGGCTGTGGCAGATCAGAACGAGACATGAGGACATCATATCTAGCCGAACCTAACACTAGCCCCCATTTACGTCAGATTTAAAACACTACAGGTAATTGATGTTCCACTCTGTATCTGACTCAAACACGAGTTTGCGCTAACAAAATATTACTGTACTGTACACTGTAACCTAAAAGCAAACTAAACATGTCCCATTTTGTAAACATGCTTTGGGGTCTATAAATAGGTTATCTAAATACTTTAAGTGTAACATAGGTACCCGCCAAGGATGCATTCTTCGCCCACCGATGTTTGTAATATCCAAAAGCAAACTTTATTGAAAATTATGGAGAATTTAGTACTAAACACAGTCCAGAAATATAGCACTGCAAAACTTAAGTTCTAACAAACAACTCTATTAATATTAAATACATCACCATTGTATAACTATATAACTAATTGTTTGTTTCAATTTAGTCACTTCAAACATGGGTATATGCTTTCTTTTACCCGGCGGGTTACATGCCAACAGTGATAGCTCACAGGTAGTTTACTGAATCTTTCATTGAGAAATACAGAGAAAGGTTGTTACAACATACATTTGTGACAAGTTGATTTTTTGCTCAATCGCTTCAGTGTTATTCTACGGCGCTTCAGCAACTTTTATGACACTACTTTGTGTAGCTTACTCATTCGGAGATTTAGAGAATGGGTGTGGTTTTACGCTACGTTTAACAGGATTTATGTATTTAATGGATGGAAAGCCCGTAGTGGCATAGGTCACGGGCATTTCAGGGTAGTAACTTTAAATGACGTCAATAACACTGCTCATAACTGTTAACGGTAACAGTACAAACACAAAAGGCGGGCCAAATTGTTTTAACGACAAACTTTTAATTCAATTCGTATAGCCCTAGTTGCCAAACAGATAGCGAGTTTAGAATCATCGACGAAACAAGATGAATCATAGGTCCTTGGTACCTTAATTGATTGGGTAAAGCCATAGAAAGACGTCGCTTATATTATAAATCACCAGTTTGTCTGGTCCAGACAAGGCACATCGTGATCTCAAAATAACGTACGAGTGAGAGATGAACAACAACTTATCGCGGAAACAATTTCTGATTGATAATCGTTATATCTTTGGCTACACATGCGTTTACCGGACACCAATCCGCCATGTTTGTTTGATGCTACTAATAAAGTATTTTGTATCTACTTTGGTAATAAAGATTTCGAAAGCATTTAATTAAAGCCGTTTAGTGGGGGGTAAGTCCCCCAAACTCCCTGTTCTTTCAGCGAGGCGACAAAAATGGCGTCTGAAAAAACACAGAAACCGTTACTAAGGGATGAGATCGTGCACATTCTTTACCAGAATGGCTGAAGGTGTCCGGTATACTGCATTCCTGGTTATGTTTGCTGACAATGTATCTACAAATGAGGAAGTATTGATGTTGCGTTACCGGTGAAACTAGTCACGTGGGAAGATCTCAAATGGGCAGATTTTAAAACCGGGGTGGAGTTGCACCACTTCCATATCACGCCGGATATGCAGGGTGATGCTTGATTTTTGGGGGGCCACGGGTGGCCCAGTCGTCTAAGGCGCCGCGATTCGCTGTGCAGAGTTGCGTCCCTTGGGTACGCCAGAAACCTATGATTTTGGGTTCGAATCCCGGTTCGCCCCGATTATGTTTCTAGGTTTGTCAGCACCATACCCGTGCTCGTGGGTTTCACCGAAGTGGTAAACGTCTGAGACCTGCATCACTTCGGGCTTTCCTCCCACATTAAGCTGACTAGCCATGATTGGTTGGTGTCACTCACGATGAAGTGCTCTCGTTGTACACCGACGTACACAACACATCAGACCTAGGTTAGGTTACCTCTGATAATGACCCAACGCATTGTGTCGCACACATTCCAAGTTGTGGCAATGACAACGCAAAGACATAAATAATTTTCGTGCCCTTTATTAAAAAATATGAAACATTACAATTTACAAAGTAATCTGTATTGAATATGTAAACACAGGATATATTGTAGTAAATGTGCTAAGCTTAAAAAGGAAATAACAATTCGTACAAAGAAAATTAGGCGATGACGGGGTTTCTCTACCTATCCATCAGCGTTCTGAAATACTGTACCGTTCCAGGTGTTCACACACATTTGAGCTCACGTCTGCTCTAGTTCGTGGGATAAGTGTGCTTTAGCAAACATTCGCATACAGAGCAGCTAGTGAGATCACTCTCACATGTTGAACCACGCACCTTTCCTCCAATACTGGGGGGCACAGGTGGCCCAGTCGTCTAAGGCGCCGCGATTCGCTGTGCAGAGTTGCGTCCCTAGGGTACGCCAGAGACCTATGGTTGTGGGTTCGAATCCCGGTTCGCCCCGTCAGCACCATACCCGTGCTCGTGGGTTTCACCGAAGTGGTAAACGTCTGTCACCTGCATCACTCCGGGCTTTCCTCCCACATTAAGCTGACACGCCGTGATAAAACTGGAATACTGTTAAAAGCAGCGTTAAACCCAACTCAGTCACTCACTCCTCCAATACAGTACAACGCAACTGCTCTCACAGACAGAATATATGCGGCCGCACACGCCTCATACCGAACATCTGGCACACAGACGCATATGTGTCCTCCTTTTCCTTACTCTTGCCGCCCGTGAGGATAACTCCCAGGTGACATGTTACCGTATCGAAAAAGGCCTAAGACCTTTTCTTGATCACGAGCTGCTCACCAAAAAGACCCTGAACAACTAACAGACCAGCACAGTAAATCTCTCCAGTGCTAGCCCAACAGTGACAATATCAGAAATAAGATCTTTACTCCGAGGAACACTGAACCTAAATGATCACCCTGACCCAGCCAACACCGCAGACCTCCAGGCTACCTTATCTTTACCCCCAGATATACCCAACCATGTGACCATAAATCTTCCGCTTTAATAACACAAATGCCTCTCCGCCAATAATAACAATACCTTGATAAGACCTTACATGATCCCAAGGCGACATCTCCACTAAAGCTAAGTGACCATCCTTCTACGCTATTAACCAATCCTAACTAACCAATTCACAAATATTGTCAACTATGTGCGTCTAATTTATTTTACAAAAGGGTCGGCCGGGTAGCCTAATGGTTAAAGCGTTCGTTCCTCACACAGAAGACCCGGGTTTGATTCCCGACATGGGTACAATGTGTGAAGCCCATTTCTGGTGTCCCCTGGAAAATTGCTAAAAGCGGTGTAAAACCATACTCACTCACTCACTCAACATTTTACAAAAAGCCGTTACTTGAAGAATCTCAAGTTATAATGATAGCTGGAGGTTAAAGGAAAGGAAATCAAGCGAAGCTTCCAGGAAAAACATTATCTTTACTACATGGTCTGGTATTCAGTTAGACTCTGCATGACATAACCTAAGATATGAGAGTAACAACAGTATCAATGTGCAGTATATTGGCGTCAATATAACCGGGTGATGGGAATGAAATCAAGTACAACTTGTATATACAGTATGCACTATGCATGAACACGTAATGCATCAGATACTACAGGGATGCCATAGACAGGGAAGGGTCAATCAATGGAGCTTTAGCGTTGGTAGTAGTAGTTCTGGTCGCTGCCGTCGGGTCGCAGACCGAACGACGTCTCCAGGTTGTCCACCACGTTTCTGAATGTGGGTCGGTTCGCGGGGGACTCGGACCAGCAGTCCTGCATCATCCGGTAGTGACTGAAAACAGACACAGAGAGTTGTACTAAAAACTTGTTTATCTTTCTCTATATATATATCAGTCTGGGCAGGTGTAAGTGAATGGTGTATATTTCAATATTGAACCGCTGTAACTACGGGAGTACCGATGAAAAGGCTTAACACATTGTGTTCTTGTGTGAAGTGAAACCTCTTTAGGATAATGAACGAAGCACGAACCACTTGGCTTCTCAAACATCCAAGATGTGTGCGTTGTCAGATAGTTTCACAGGTATTGTATATTTCACTCAAACTCCGACATCACATTTTACGAGAAATGAAGAGTATACCTGATGATTAAACAAATATAACGTCAACCATACCTAATAGTGAATGTAATAGTATTGGTAAATAGAAACAATTAGTTGAGCACCCAAAATAGTGTTGAAACATATAACACGTCTATTGATAAATAAATGTTACTTACATATCCTCTGCATACTCTGGCCTTGACATTCTGTATCCGCCCTTGACCTTTGTGGGTATATCACGACCTCTGATGTCAGCGTAAGGGTTTCCACCTGGACAGTAAATGGCATCATTTCATATCTATTGCTACCTTTCCTCAGTCCTATCTTAGAAACTCCACTAAAGTCACTGACACACCTACCCATGCTGAAGATCTCCCACATTGTCACACCATAGGACCATGCGTCACTCTTCTCGTTAGCGTCCTTGAGGGACCTCAGACACTCAGGGGCTGTCCATTTGATCGGGATACGATCCTACATCAGAAACAAGCAACATCATTGCAATGCATTAGATTTTACAAAAAGGGTTACGACTCGGGTAATGGACATGATGACATGACGTCAAAGTAGGATATAAATCGGGAATATGCTTGATCGGGTGTTTAATGACATAAGTGTCCGATGTTTGTGTTGAATTGAAGGACATCCTGGAGAGGAAATATACACTTTTGCCTCACAATTGCGTTGATAAGACACAGACACTGACACATAGACATACAGTTGCTGTGCCCTTACCCCTTTGTTGTCATCAGCAGACTCATCAGCCTTGCTTGGACCACAGCCTGCAACCTTGATCTCCAGCAGGAAGGTCAACAAACAGTTACGTGCAGCTAGTTTGCGGTGAACGATCTGAAACAATGCACATCATTCACATGCTGACTTCAACATGGCATGCAAGATGACGTTCTATGCAACAATTTCACCCTGATATGTTGATTGAACACTAACCTCATTCAAACATGAATGGTCAAGATTCATACACTGACCTCTCTGCGATCAAGATGGATACGCCCACGGACATGCCTTTTGGATCAAGAACACACTAACCACAACCATGCACCAGGGATCAAGTTAGATGCTCCGCCCATAGCACATTAAGTCAGGAAAGACAGCCAGACCTCGCCATTTCCACAAGTATGAATATGGATAAACTGGCCTCGCTATTTCAAGAAGTATAAAGAGTGAGTGAGTGAGTTGAGTTTAACGCCGCTTTTAACAGTATTCCAGTTATATCACGGCGTGTCAGCTTAATGTGGGAGGAAAGCCCGAAGTGATGCAGGTCTCAGACGTTTACCACTTCGGTGAAACCCACGAGCACTGGTATGGTGCTGACAAACCTAGAAACATAATCGGGGCGAACCGGGATTCGAACCAAAAATCATAGGTTTCTGGCTTGCCCAAGGGACGCAACTCTGCACAGCGAATCGCGGCGCCTGAGACGACTGGGCCACCTGTGCCCCCCAGAAGTATAAAGATGGATAAACTGACCGAGCTGTTTCAAGAAGTATCCGAAAGTTCTCATTCAGCCCTAAACACGTTGTAAACCGGTCCTCGCCTAAGCACATGGTATGAAACAATAGTGAGAAAGGGATCACGTAGCAGTGCTTCCTTGACGCCATTCGCTTGGCAAGGACCCGCTGGTCGGGTGTTGAAATCCAAGTGTTGTTCTTCGTATGAATTCGTATGACACTTACCCCTTTGGACGCCAGATACTCCATCCCACGTGCAATCTCCAGGGCGAAGTTTTGTATCCTGTCAAGGGTGTCCTCGTTGATGTTTGATCTCTGCTTGGTCAGCCACTTGTCCAGCTGGCCAGTCTCGCAGTACTCCAGCACCATGACGGGACCCACTGGACACCAAACAGACATACAGACACATGTTATACTGACAGACACCATAGAAAGAGTCACCAAACAGCACATTGGCACATGTGTTCTTGTGGCATCGATTTCAAGACGTCAACGGTGAAGGATAAGTATTCTCGAATATATGTTGAAGCAGATTCCATGGCGTATAAGGCAAAACAGTGACGTGAATGGATAACTAAAAGTCAGTGGTGGCACATGGTGTTTGGGAAATGGGTAAAAAGCATGACCTGATTCATCTGTAGCAGCCATTACTCACACAATTTGCATGAAAACGTTAGTTTTTGTTTGTCATTTTATAACAGTAATGTATAACAAATGTCAGTTCAAAAACTGTTCAGCAATAATCTTGATCTGTGACGACACTATGCAGTGGCGAAATGGGCAGTAAGCATGAAGACTTGTAACACCCACCACTCACACAATTTGCATAAAAAAAGTAAGCATTTGTTGCAATTGTAAAACTGAATTAATGTTCGTCAACAAATTTAAGGCACGAACTCACGAGCATCGTTCTCCATGACGGCCCCGAGGAAGCCTAATACGTTGCGGTGCTCGCCGACCTGTGTAGCGGCAAAGTTGATCTTAGCCAGCATCAGAAGAATGTCGTCCTCACTCTCCCGCGCTGTAAAACAATGATTTACATATTGAATTTGATACCAGTAACACAACACTATAATCCAACGTCAACCCATTTTGATTAAATTTTGTTCACATCAAAAAGTTAATTTTACCTTTCAGAACCTTAGCAGCCACTTCCTTGACGTTCTTGGGTGTCTCCATCCACTTGGCCTTGTAGATCTTGGCAAACTTGCCGGTAGCGATGACCTCTGTCAGGCTGATGTCCTCTGGGGGAACGTACCAGGGCTCCCCTAGGTCCATGCTGCCGTAGATGTAGATGTCGTCTTCCTTGGTGTATGTCGTGTTCTGTAGCAGATAAGGGGGGTTAAGCGCAGCTACAGTAAGCTTCTAAAATGTCAACTGGTGGGGTAGCAGTTTTATTTGTAAATCCTTTCGATTCCTCACAAACCCAGTAGCTAGTGTTGTTTTGGAGAAAGACGATTTATTTCTTACAATATACGAGTAGACACATCAGAAAGTGTAAAAAGTTACATCTTACATCATATGCCCATCTGCTGGTGCGATTTCTTTGTTTGAGAGTTGTGGTACCAGTTGAAGTCTCTACATGTGGTCTCTCCCTGTACGTCTTGTGCCGTTGAAGGAGACCGCCGAGAAGCCCGAGTTTGAACAGGACAAGGCCCAGGATAACGAGTATCACTATCAGCAGGAGTAACACTCCTGGATAAAAAAAAAGAAGAAAAACAACATTGTGTGTGACACTATTGATTGAGATGATTAAGATTCAAGTGAAAGAGTGACTTTTGCTTATGAAAAGATCTGACTTAAGTACACTCACCTATCACAATACCAGCTACTGTTCCACCGGAAAGTCCGTCAGATACTGCAAGAGATGACAACAACTGAAGTTGTGTACATGTGAATCAATGAGTAAATAATTTTAGTTTTGACTCTATTAACGCTCTAATACATTAATTTGAACACAATGTCATCTGCCAATAAAAGGTTTAACATCTGGATATAACTGAATGCCGTTTGCACAACTGCTATGGATTTCTGATGCTAATTGATTCATGATTCCATATACAACCTTTGCGCACAACGAATTTGCATTCTAACATATCATGATCAGACATTACACATTTGGCTCGTTCTAACCTTCCCTAAATTCAGCTTGAGATTCAGAAACCTTATCTATAGCCTTGGCAAACGCACAGGTCACTTATTAATAATACATAAACATTTTACTAAATATACAGAGTTGTCCCCCTGTAGTTGTTGACATCATTAGAAGCACACAATACCAATAGACAATGTATCCGGAAAGTATCCATGATCAAAATCATTCTAATTAATAATTCAATATATGAGACAAAACGATTAAGAAATTGTGTAATCTATGAGAATTGTAACATTTTAGATGACGAATGCTATTTAATATTTCACCTTTTGTGACAATATCCTCTTTTTATAACATAAGGGAAATCATCAATGGTACGATTATCTTGTAAAATACGTCATCTTGTAGATTGTCGTCATGTACAACTGATGTTTTCACCAGCAAATAAATTCCTAAGCTGTACATACGAATCCGCAAGATTAAAATTATTTTAAACATATATCCTACAATTTAATTCAATTACTACATTTAATCACAGATCAGAAATTCTTCGAATTGTTGATGTTATTCTTCATATATTGCTTCTTCTGTTCCAAATAAAGTCTTTCCTGTATCACTGTCATCGGATGGCCAACGAAAATATACACTGTACAGCCGAATCTGGTACAGCCAATCACTCAAACTTGCCACGAATCGGTCCACACGAGCAACGTCAGAAATAGCATAATAATTCCAAAGTTTTGTTCATCAGCTTTTCTTAAAAATGCGTCTCTTGAATTAAATGTACATATCAGACGTTTATCATCAATGTCAGAATCAAATACTATAACTTTTAAAAACTAAATATGATAAATCAATAACTACTTGTATGTTGATGTACATGCCTGTTACAATGACAATATGCCACCTTGTATTTAGTGTATGCTATATTAATACTAAATGGTATTTAAGTACACACGAGCCAGATATACATTCGCGTGTCACAAATATACATATTAGATCATGTAGAACGGCGAAACATTCGGCTTAGTACAAACGCAAAGCTTCACAAACAGAAAAAACTGTTACCTGTTGTGACGGTCACCGGGTCAGCCCTGCTCTTGAACTCCCCATACTGGGAGATGACCTCGATGGTGTAGGTTGTGTCCGGCTGGAGGCCGACCAGAGTGTGGGAGGTCGCTGTCTTGTGCAGTAGGGTCATCTTCGGCTGTCCATTCACCTCGTAGTTGATCCACATCTCTGTCCGATTGTAGCAGCTGAGGGTGTGTTTCCACGTCAGTGTCACTAAGTTTGTTTCTTTCTTTGTGACAGTCACGCCTACAGGTGCTAGCGCTGAGATGAATAAAAAAGAGGAAACCTAGATATGTCATAAATACTGGAACCATCACGAGTCCAAGACATTGAAATGGTACTGAGTCATATGCTTTCAAATAGAACGGAGTCCATTCTACGATTCCCACTATTCCATAAGCATGTGTTTGAATCGCTATTAAATAATAATGATAACAGGTTTTCGCAATAGGGTGAGCGTATCCTGTCCTACCAGTAGTACCCGTCACACAAACATGAAAAGGAAAGCCGAGAGTTGAACTGAACAAACACGGAAACAAGTCAAAATAGGGAATTGCATCGGACATACTTTTTGTTGCTAGGAGTTTCAAAAGCGCGCTGACATGGTACTGTTATTCACAGTAAACCATCGTCCTTTGTATTCAACTTGGAAACAAAATGTTGACCTTTAATCGCAATCACATTAACACCCTACTTACATCCTTGTGTTCCATTCAGTGTATCTAGTTTATCCACCTGTAATAAAGATAAGTGCCACATTAATAGAACATAGCAAATATTCGATCAAATTAACACTTTATGAAACAACATATCACCATCAGACTATTATATTGTTTTTGAATATTTATTTCATTTTTAAATGTATTGTATGCCTGAACATGGACATCGTTTTGGTTTGCCTGAACATGGACATCGTATTGGTTTTCATAATCTTAAAATCCTTTTTTTTACATCACAGAATAGAACCAATTGTATCATTATCAATTGTCCAGCATCTAAAACTTAAATTAACCACACTCACAGTGAAGCTCTTTGTTGTATGGATTCCCGCCATGTTCACGAAATCCATGTCCATTGTCACCGTCTGTCCCTCCAACATTGGGTGTTTTAACCAGCAGTTGCTGATGGGCAGAAACTGCTTCTTGTTGAAGCAGACTGGATTGACGGTGGTACAGTAACACGTTGTAAAGCCCTCACACGACTGTGGAGAAAGTTGTGTTAAAAGGATATAGCGGGTGGAAATGAAATGTGAGGCAATTTTGTTATGAGGAACAATAAGTGTCCAACGGTTCACTACAGTATACTAGTATATGTACTTACATCAATGGTTCTGAGAGGCAAAGTTTCATTAACAATCATTAGATTGTTGCTCACTTTCCTGACGAAAAGGTTCACACGTTTCAGTCCACTCTGCATGTCCCGAACATTTACTTCAACACTGAAATAAAAGGATGTAGACATTGTTGATTATTTCTTTAGAATAAAGCCGTAAGACGAACAGAAAGATCAAGGCATTGTTGTTCAGCAGGAACGGTCAATGTGAGCTGAATGTAATTATTTATATGAAATGATTAAGCAAAATAACGGCATCGTTTCTTGCAGCCGTAACGACCTTTTGAGTGAGTGAGTGAGTAAGTGAGTATGGTTTTACGACGCTTTTAGCAATATTCCAGCAATATCACGGCTGGGGACACCAGAAATGGGCTTCACACATTGTACCCATGTCGGGATTCGAATTGTAAATGTAATCGTATTTCATTATTAAGGCAAAAAATAAAATATTTTGTATGATGAAGGGTTTTTCATATTCGAAACAACCCACAATAGCAAACGTTATGTGCAGTTGATCGCCCAAACGATTTTTTAAAACCAAATCTCTTTGTTAACTGTAAGTATATCCCACCAAACTATCACCTTTGGGAGAAGGATGCAGATGCCCAGACAATTGTAGAATATTTAACAATAACTAAATAAGTTAATCCAATGCCAATGACAATTTGAAGTCACAAGGTGGTTCTAAACGTTTTAAGACTTTATAAGTACGAATATGTATAAACTATCTCTCCCGGAATATAAAGAAATCTGAACAATGTGAGTTGCTTCACATCAACAACTGGTTTCGATTCCGAGACAATCCTGCGTCTGAGAGGAAGATTCCATAAGATCATCAATAGTCGGAGCTGAACAGAAGAACAGACACAAAACAGGCGACGAACAATGTGTCCTGCTGGTGAACTAACAAACAACACAAAGGTGTTAACATGGAGAGTATGTATGCAACTACTCACGTGGAACTAAATGGAACATTGTTGGTCTGGATGTTCCTCCGGAACACAGGCTGCTCGACTTCAGGCGGTGTATCATCAAAGTGAACCCTGGTGGAATCTATCCGGGTGTTACCTAGGACATCTGTAGCTCTCACCCAAACTGTGACTGTATCGTGCTTCGTCAGTTTACCTCCGAGTGAACCTATCAGCCATATATTTATGTACATTATTTCAGAACGAAAAGGACATTTACGTGATATTGATACATTAATTTGCTGAGATAACAGACGCATTTTTTGCCTCGTTAAATATAATTTTGAAGCACACCTTGTCCGCCAGATATAAAATAACTGTGTGTCGACGACAATATGATAATAAGTTACAAAATAACAATACTGAGTTGAATACGTTACCTGCAGGTATAATGTATGTTTCACTGAGTCCGACAACAACCCAGCCTGTGGTTGGTTCCGTCTGGTTCACACCGGCAAAGCTGTCCTTCGCATAAACAATCTCAAACTTGACAACACCTCTCTTGTTTGGTATTCCGTCTACTGTCCTCTGTCCGTCGTGGTCATCCTGTCCGGAGTCTGTAGGGATCCTCTTCAAGAAGTCCTCGAGCTGTGGGGGGTAGGCGAGGACTTCGTTCAACCACTTGCCCTCCTCATGCTTCAGGTTGACAAAGTGGTTGGTCCATGTGACCGTGACGGGTCTAGAAGGATCGTCTTGCCAGTTGTATCCCCCATTAGGATCAGCTGATGATATATACAGACGGTTGTCTGCCCCTGTATCTATGGTAACATTAGAAACGCGATCGTATATGGCGATCCTCCTTACAAAGACAGAGTTATTGGCCTTGTCGGAGGCCTCCAGGATGAAGGAGTACACTCCAGGCTGTGGAGGTGTGTAGGTGGCCTGGAAGGAGTTGGAGGCCAATGATGACTGATTGACTTCAATAGGACCATGTATGGGATCCAACGGTTCAAACTCCTTCAGGACCTGATTCCCGTCCACCTGTAGCCGGAAAACCTCCCAGGCGTAACGATGCATGCCTGACGGTACGTCAGTCCAGTTGGACCAGCGGAGAATGACAGGGTCCTATTGTTCAATTGTAAATACATATGTACAAGCAAAAACAGGTGAAATATGTGTTATGAAGAACACAGGTGTTATACGCCAATACAAACCGCTATTATCAGATTTAGATTTCGCACTTCAAGGTTACATCGACTCCCTCCTATTCATATTTATCCATGAAGTTATAAATTATTAAAAAATATACTTAATTCCAAATTTGCACTCATTTGTTGGCAGAAATTATCTGTAAGAATTATCCAAAGTTTGCAGTTTGAAAGAACACATGATGAATGTCGGTTATGTCATTACTACATGTTTCGAGTGGAATAAAGTAGCACTTGAAGCTGCTTTACATGTTTATAAGGGATAATCGAGCGTGAACACATATCCCCGTCAAAATATAACAGAGAAAGGTGTGAGGGACATTTTTCTCTATCTGCTCTGAGAGTAGAACTAATTTGGGCCAGTACAATATTCGCCCTGGTAACATTGTTGGTCATTTGGATAAAAAGGTAGAGTACCTAAAAACAAAATTAGAGAGCGAAACTAACCTGTGACGGACTAGGTACTCATTGTTTACGCCAACATATACCAGTATAACGTAACTTAACAATAGTATTATTTATAAGGAACGCAGTGTCCGTGCAAATGTCATTCAGAGTTGGTCCCCCGTGAATGACATTTTGTGTAACTATTTATCATGCATTATTATATAACAGCATTATAATTATGTAATAATAATGTCTGTTACAACACAATAACAGTCAGTTATATCCTGATGAGGCCCGTACATAATAGCTGAAAGCGCTAATCAATAAACGGCTGTCATTTCTACTTCAAGAAATGAAATTCGATATATATTACTAATAGAGCGCGGCCTTAAACAACAAACCAACAAACAAAACATGCAAACTCAATATATCATACATCTAAAAGTAATAATTTTGTTATCATTCATACCTTTGTGATATCATCATCCAAGGAAAAGACGGAAGTACACCTCGATCCTATTTCGAGACATGTGTGAGTTGGTGTCAGGAAGTCAAAACGGTAAGCCATGGCTTTCTCCGATTTTTGTCCTGTGAAGTTCTGAGACTGTCGATCAACGAACCCATTATTAGTAAACTCCCTCAGTTGTCGGTAACCTCCACTCCACACTTTGAATGTAATGGTCAACCTGAAGAGAAGTCAGGGTGTAAACATGGTGTTTTCAGATTAGCGGGTAATACGTATTCAGTGTTCAGCAATGTCAGCTGAACTGAATCCTAAACTCTCAGGCACTATCAGATACTCAATACCATCCACAAGTCTGACTGTGTGTCCACAATATAAATATGTAATCGTCGATTTCTTCCAAAGAATCGCTTCCTCTAAACGTTGTGGAAACATATATCATGCACCTCTGCAATGCAGTGACGTTATCATGATGGCATACCCCTCCTTTATAAGTCGACCCGTGAAGATCCGGGGTAGAATAGGTCTTCAGCAACCCATGCTTGCCGCAAAAGGCGACTATGCTTGTCGTAAAAGGCGACTAACGGGATCGGGTGGTCAGGCTCTGTGACCTGGTTGATGCATGTCATCAATCCCAATTGCGTGGATTGATGCTCATGGTGTCAATCACTGGATTGTCTTGTCCAGACTCGATTATTTACAGACCGCCGTCATATAGCTGGCATATTGCTGAGTGCGGCGTTAAACAACAAACCACTCAACCACCCACCTTTATAAGTCAAACATATGGATAACACACTATAGAAACATGCGTACGCAGTTTTTCTGTAAAATATCATTTACACTGCATATATCAAAATAGAATGAATACAGCATTTAATGTTGCCGTGACGAATACCATGTCGTTTTAATATATGGAAATGACCATGGCTCTATATTTACCATGGTACGTGACCCGTGAAAATCCGGGGTAGACTAGGTCTTCAGCAACCCATGCTTGCCGTAAAAGGCGACTCAGCTAGTTGTAAGAGGCGACTAACGGGATCGGGTGGTCAGGCTCGCTGACTTGGTTGATGCATGTCATCGATCCGAATGGCGTGGATCGATGCTCAAAATGTCAATCACTGGATTGTCTGGTCCAGACTCGATTATTTACAGACCGCCGTCATATAGCTGGAATGTTGCAGAGTGCGGCGTTAAGCAACAAACTCACTCACTCACCAAGGTACGTAAACGAATTCGTATTGACAATGCTCTTTAACCAATAAGATTACGGCACATAAATCTGTTTGAGTATATCCACAGTGTACTGTGCTATCAGAAGCACAAACGCATCTGAGGATAAGGTCTTTCAATACCCTGAAATAAATTTATCTTTTATAGCGTGGTTCACTTATCTTCGAAACAGTTCACTTATCTGTTTATGTCCATGAACATTAATCTGTCGTAGAGATTACTGATTGTTTTAACTGAAATACTTAAGAATATATTCTAGCATTACTCTTGTTCGCTACTTTACAACTAGAATAACCCACAATAATCCTTTTCTGAGTATGCTATGACAGGTATAATAAGTATTGTTGAGAGTACTTGTGTAGGCTATACGTGCTCAAACACGCAAAGTCCTCAACCATACGTCTTTTAGAATTGAGAATGTAATTGCTTGAAAAGAAAATACTATGTGTATTTTTTTTCAGTATGACTCTTTGCAAGAGTGAAAGATTTAATTTGTAGATGACTACATGGATAAAAAATAATGTCATATTGTTATATCACCACACATTTATTATAATTCTGAAATCTAGATTTATATGCCCCTTCTACTCGTTATGTTTTGGCATCATGGTCGCAGAACACCTTGTAAAATACGAATCGGTGAAAATTGACGCAGTGATGGGTACAATGAACGGACAGAGGCATGCAGTCATGGGCACGATGATCACGAGGTGCTCGAAAACCTGTTGGTTGTGACAGAATCGTTGCACATAATTATTAGAGAGCACAACAACATGTGCTACTAAGGATTGCAACAACTGAATGCACTTATAATCCATTGACGTCAAATACGTCGTTTGACGACCGAAGAATTAGGCACATGCATAGGCACGCTGGAAACTGGGTCAACACAACGTCTGTGGTATCTGCCAAAGTGTGGTCAGCAGGGCATGGAATCAATACCAGACGTTTTGATGAGTTACGCAGCGACCATCTTCCCGAGACAAGAGAGTTAACTGACTTTAAAAGTCCAGTTTTCACCCTTGCCGAACTAGGCTGGTATGGAGTTACATTTTGGCTGGACTAACGAGTCTATGTACAGTCCAATCGAAATCTCGCACTGAAATCGAAATCCGGTTCATAAACCGTCGTGCAGATTTCGGTCGATTGAAGGATTTGCAAAGGATGTGCACCGCCAATTCGGTGTCAGCAGGTATTTTTCAAATCTTTTCATGTTTTTAAACAAGGTGCTCACGTGATTTGATTCATATCAAATGATGTAAGACCCGTTTTCTCACAAAATAGATCTTGAATATCGATCAGGTCGTCCTGACTGGGCGCCACCATTTTGTGTGAAGCAAACGCAAGTTATACGAGAGGTTGAATGCGATTGGTGCCCATCGGAGAGGCTTAAAAGGGACATAACTGGTAATAGCCACTGGTGGCGCTACGATCGAGTCCAGTAATTCCAGCCTAGTTCGGCAACGGTGGAAACTGTACTTTTATAGTTAACTCCCTTGCCTCGTGTAGATGCGCAGCGACAGGCGGGTGGTTGACATCGTTCCACCACACAGGGTTGGTTGCAGCTAGACGTCATCCCTTAAGACTGCGGAACGACAGTGGCGTTAACGTTTCTACTCAGACAGTGCGATATCCCCGTCTTGAGGCTAGTCAATGGTTTCGGAGAACATGCATTCGCATCCCATTGACCCGACACCACAGGCAGGCATATGCTCGGATTTGGCTGGAGTTCACGTCAATTGGTCAGAGCAAGATGGGGCTCAAGTACCTTTCACTGATGAATCGAGATACTGTCAAGACTTCATTGATCATCGTGCCCGAGTATTGAGTCGACAAGGAGAAAGATTTCAAGATTCCATCTCAGCCGAACATGAGCGCTCTGAAGGGGGTTCATTCATGGTTTAAGTAGAGTTGGAGAACCGATCTCCATACCCTACAGAGGGTCATGGCGACTCTACAGGAACTCGGCAATGCCCTTAATGAAGAATGGTACAATCTTCCCTTGGGAACCATCTGGACACTTATTAGGAGCATCAGACGACGGTGCAAAGCTGTGATCGGAACACGTGTATCACATACGCGGTGCTGAGACTTGTTGCTTTATACAATGAATTTGGTTTCGTGATTCTTTTACGTTTCATTTCTTGTCAGATACTCTCATTTTGACGCGTGATCTAAGTGATTATTGGGCACATGTTGTTTGGTTGCCTTGTATGGTATATGACAACGGACCTTTGTTCATTAAACATGCACATGCCTTCACGCAATATTGTCTCTGGTTATTTCAACACATGAACACATTTTGACGTATAAGCTTTGAATAGTATATACATTGTATTTAATCTCAAAGGACACGTGTGTTCAGTTTATATGGTTACAGCTTTTCACAGTTGGTGTCATAAAAGATTAATATTGACAGTAGCGGGTGACCTCGCCCAGGTGAACACTACCAAGCTGACTGTCGTTCATTTCCCGATGAACGTCAGTATGTCACGTGATTACGTTGTCAATCGAGCGGAGACATACAGAACTACTTTTGGGGAATTCCTCTATGTCTAAAAATAACATCAGTACAACTGATGACATCGATTCAGGCTATGAATGATGCGGGTGTTGAGGCAAGACAGATCAAGTATGTGTCGGGTCACCGAAATGAAGCATCCATTCGAAGCTATAACAGATAATGCTCGACTTACCAAAAGAAATCACTGAGATCCACTGTGCCACCTCAAGCGGTAATCCCCCCCATCATAATCATAGTATGACTCAAACACACACCCACAGAATGTTAATATCAATCCATTTTCAGCATCAGCTGGGGCTGGATTTCTTTCCAACATTAACTTTTTCTGGGTGTTCATTTCAAGTGAATGACATTTCCGTAGCCGCCATTTTCTACCGTTTGTAAAACCAAGGGATGTCACTCCAAATGGAATGTTTGGGACGGATGACGTCCCGACGTCACGACTCTCCACGTTAATATAGTTCGCTTTAAATAATTAAAGTTTGATTTTTAATGGATAGTTTTGTAATGATGTATGTATCTGTCAATTTAAGGATTGAAGTTGTATTTGTTGACGCTTCGCGCATCATGCAATTTGCTCACGTGAGGCACTGTCTTCATCAGCTGATGAACGTCAACAAATACAACTTCAATCCTTAATTATCTTCCAACCCCCTTTACAAATGAAACTTACTTGTCGCCATTTTCGAGAGATCGGTCGTAATTGGATCTGTCAATGTCACAGATGTAGGATTCATTTGCTTGTCCACTCGAGACTGCAGGTTCACAGGGAATAGTCTGGTCAAGGCTGACTTGTGTCGTTGTAAAATTCGACCCTGTAATCAATCCATTTCTCAAATGTACATGTGTGAATCTTCATACTCCTGATCGATTGGAAAGTTAGCAACTTTATCATATATATGAATCAGTATCAGTATATGACTCTTCATGATCATATCACTGTGTAGGTCCAAACATACCTGACCCGTGAAGATCTGGGTTAGAATAGGTCTTCAGTAAACCTATGCTTGTCATAAGAGGCAACTGACGTGATCGGATGGTCAGGCTCGCTGAATTGGTGGATGCATGTCATCGTATCCCAATTGCGTAGGATCGATGTTCATGATGTCAATCACTGGATTCTCTGGTCCATACTCGATTATTTACAGACCATCGTCATAGAGCTGGAATAGCCATGAGTGCGGCGTTAAACAACAAGCAAATAAACATACAAACCAAACATACCTGTGTAAGGTATTTTCTCATGATACAGACGAGCTTCAGCACGAGCAATGCCAAGTCCGTAATCCTTGACAAAGAATGGCGACGCAGGGATGTTTTCAGCCATATACTGAGCTGATGCATTGATGTTCAACTGGTTGAACATTTTCCTGTTTGTCCAAACGTAGTCAACATCGGTGGAGTTTGTCGAGTCCACATACAATGAATACTTTTCCATGGGCGGTGTTCCTGTTCCTCTCATCCAGAATCCAAATCTTGCCTGAACCTCAAAGATAACTGGTCGTTGATCTGACTCCACTTTGAACATTAAAGACCATGATTGGCGTTAAGTGGAACCATCTAAAACAGCTTATACTACGGTATTTCAGAATGATGCATTCTGATAAGACCGCAAGAGGTATAGACTATATGTTAAAGTTCAATTTTGTTGATGAATGCATCACCGCAAAAAACAGTATTATTTGAAAGCAGTTCAGTCTCAAACCCGAGCGGTAGGCAATAGGAAATACTGCTGCAACTTATTACGCGTTGCATGATGACATGCTGATGTTCTTAGATTAAAAGTAATTCAAAGTAAGTGTGGCAATATATTGTAGACAGAATGCCTTATTGTACAATGACAACGAAAGTGGGTTGTATAATTCTCTGACGTCAGCACAGCATAAGTCGATTACGTCCTGTGACGTGCTGTCTACCGCGGCACAATACTTCGACTTCCTATTGTAGGACAGTATGGCGTCTTTGCAGTGGCGACTCTGGATCTATAAAAACGCATAGTACATATTGTACCACAGTTTGGGCCAGTGTCTCATTTTGTTTTTCGGCACTTAATTTTTAAAATTCATGTGATTTGAATCCCGATTTTAAAATCTTACTTTATATGTATGCAATATATATTTCAGGGCCAACAATGGTAAATGCAACGCATTTTACCTCCGCCCACTGCACTAGGTCAAGGACGGTGTCTGGTATGCCGATGTTCCCGTCTGGAAGTACCCGTTACGTGCAACAGTTTCCAAACTCTTCAAGCAAGCTGGTATTGCAGGATTTTTTACCAACCATTCACTGCGAGCAGCTAGCTACTGTACGATTCCGGCCTGGCCGACTGACTGGACACAGATCTCTGGCTATCCGTAGCTACGAGGAATTTGATTTTATTGGCGTTTTTAGATGTATCATTTAGATCTAAAGTCCTATCGTAATTCCTAAAAAGGAAATTTCGCCTTTAAATTTCCAAATTAACTATATTTATTTATTTATCACGAATTTTCTGCCTTCCTAAGGTTTAAATATTTTCATAAATTTCTTTTCTTATGCGTAAGTTCTATTTGAAAATTTACAGGAGGAATTTTCATCCAAAATATTCTACTATTGATGGAGTGTTGTACATTTTTTAAATTTTAGAGGAAATAAAGAAATTAAGGGAATATGGAGCAGACAACAGATTTTTGCAAATGTGGTAATGTAGAACACACTCTCAACTGGTTCAAATAATGAACCTAAATACCTAATTATCGTCGTTTTCATTTTAACATGTACAGCATCATATATTTCAGACATATTTATATACCACTCACATTGTCTACAATAATCGCCAGGGACATTAAACGGAGACCGGAAGCCTGATGAACAGTCACAGTTGACGTTGTTGCTGCCGAGAGAGGTGCATGTCCCGGGGAAACAGGGCCGCTGATAGTTGCACACCACTGAAAGTGTTAACTGCATATATACTATAACAAAATGTGAACACAGTGTAAATATCACCCATTACAGTTCTGAAACTTAATCCAAACAACTCTGAAGAAGATATTGCTGCAGGTACAGAATATATACGTATCAATGTCCTTTGACTTATTGGTGCAATTTTGCATTTGATAACCGTCTTCGAACATCTGTAATTCAAAACGCAGACGTCAATCATTTCATTTTTCCCATGTGGCTAAACTTTTGTGTATATATGTACACATATATTCTATTTAAGAACCCGTTGAGGACCACGGGATTCTTTCATATTACAATAGTAAATCTAGTTATTCAGTCATGCCATGACAGATTTACTGTAGTAACTTTTTTCGAGGAGTATGGATAGGATATAATATACACGTTTCGACCTCAAAAGTCTTTTTTACATTTACTTACACGAGTTACACGTTGGTCCCACAGCACCATCACCACACTGACACCTGTTGGGGGTTACACAACTACCTCCGTTCAAGCATGGGGGGTTGCAGATTGCTGTGTCATTTAAATACATTTGTGTTAGTGAGTAATGCCTCTTATTTATTTCATGGATATCATCATGATTAACAAGCATAATAAACGCGATGTCCTACAAAACCATCGACTTACAGTTTGTTAGCATTTCTTTGCATTGAATACTTTATCCCAGCACACATGCAGATATATTTCAGAACAAAAACTATAATGCGATTCTTCAGCTTTAATGTCATTTCCTAACACAGCCGAAACGAAGATGGTGACAAGTTGACCCAGCGGACAAGAGTTTCTTGAAGACAGAACGAGGCACGACAGTCACCACCCTTTCGCTCCGAGATTTCGTGTACTCAATTTCCTGCATGGCTTTATTATAGTCATATCCTATAATGATGCGTCTGGTGTGGAAGGAAACCTGAATACTAGTAGCCTATTTACCATACAGTTTTCCTCTCGCTCTGTGAAGGTTCATTCTCTAAATGAACTAACACAAAGTGAAAGTCAATTCTATTATTTTTTTGTGTCACTATTTTTACCTCAAAGGATGTAGACCTTGATTTATGCACAATCATACTCAGTACGTGTGACTTCATGTTTACATTGACAACCATACAACAACCAGCTGTATCGCGGAATAAAATAGTTCCGCAAAACGAGAGGTGACATAAGCTTATGTACGCTCAACATTCTCAACAGGAACACTTTTTGTAGTTTCTGTACAACAAATGGACTCAAATAATAACCTCATTAGTTGAGTCACCTCTTCTAAGAATAACAGCGCGTCGTAATACATTTACTTCAAGTACAGGACGTCAAAATGACCTTCACGAAAAACGTAACGGGAGATACTTCCGAAGTTATTAGTGAACTTGTGGCTATCACAAGTAATTGTCATCACTAATCAATTGGCCGATCACTGAACGGTGATTGTAAAGGTGTGTCAATTTTACTGAACCGCGAAAGAAACGTCACCATGGATAGATATATGAGAAACCTTATTTGTCCAAACACTGTTAACATACTTTGAAAAACATTAACAAGATGAAAAAAACTTGCCAAAACTGATCATCAAGGTTGAAATTAAAATGTCAAATGTTCTTAAAGTGTAACACAAAACTAATCTCTGAGAAAATGGCATCACAAGTCAGTATCTCGTGTGTCCGCATGATGACTGCCGTCCAACGTCAATACATGGAATGGATGAGGCGGTTGATGAAGGCCATGGGCACTTGAGCATATAGTCTGAGGAACGCCTGACGCAGTTCAGCTGCAGTTGTCGGCCTTGGTCGGATGTCATTAGGCCGTCTTTGAATCTCGTCCCACAGGTGCTCAATGGGATTTTAATCGGGACTGAGGGCAGGCCACTGCATGGTTCTGCATGATGCCATTCTGCTGGAGGAAGTATCTTGTTGCTCTCGCAGCGTGGGCACGGGCGTTATCATGCTGAAACTCGTGCCAAATGAGGTATGGCGTGTGGTCTCAAGACTTGATCAATGTACCGAGCTGCTGTGACCACAGGGCCGACTCTCTGTGCAAGACCAATTCCACCCCACACCATGATGCTCGGACCACCCCACGAGTCTCTCTCAACAACACAAGCATCCGAATAAAGTTTCCCACGGCGTCGCCAGACTCTGCCATATGCTGTTGACATCCAGTAACGGATCTCGTCTGAGAAGAGGACTATTTACCACTGCTGGTGGTGTCAATGCTGGTGCTGTGTTACCCACTGAAGGCGGTCCCGGCGATGACGTGGTGTCAGAATGCGTCTTCGGTGTGGCCTGTGACAGTGAAGGTGTCTGCTCGTCAATCGACGACGCACGGTGTCCGCACTCGTGTGTCGCTGGTGTGTCCCCATGGTCTGTCGAGCAGTTTCCGCAGCAATAACAAAGCGATCTTGAAGATGCTGTCGTACAATCTGACGATCCTGACGTCTGGTAGTGACCCTTGGTCTTCCACTACGTGGGTCAGTCACCTGTAGTGTTGGTGTTTTGGTACCGTTGCTGGAGCCTGTATATGGTCCGTACGTGGACTTAAAATGAATCGGCTACTTGCCGGGCGGTTTGTCCAACTTGCAATCGTCCAAGGGCTTGGTGTCGCTGATTTCTTGTCAATCTTGGCGTGTGGTAGCAATTCAATAACGAATGAATGTTATCCGATCTGGGTGGATTTTTATAGGGCAAGAAATGGGGGAACGCATGTGCATTTCCTTTTGCACGGAACTCACGTGCATCGGGTTACCATGGCCGTTGTCGTGATGCGTTTGGGCGATCGGTTTTATTGTCATTGGCTTTGTTTATGTAGTTAATGTTAAATTTGGGAAACTTTGAAAAAATTACCCAGATATTTAAATGGATACTAAGGTACGTTCATATATTGTTGAAGACTGTCACAGTCGTTTAGACACGGATCGAGTCGACACTACGGTTGTTTGGGTGTGCTTTCCTTTCGTTTTATGCTCTAGGATTGGTTGTAGCAAGGATATCCTTGAATGGACATGCAATCGAACTCTCTGACTTATCTCAATGTATGCTAAAACGCGAAGTTCAAGTTTAAAGGGTCTTAATGATGAGAAGTAACGCTTCTGTATTTATCCCCAGGGGCTCCTCCAGGAATGTGGAAGTAGTTCGTCAGTGTTTACGTCATTACAAGTGCACGGTCTCGTCAAAAACATATGAAAGTCAAATTGTGTCGTTCATACTCTTATGAACGTCAATTTCGCGGTCATGTGACCGACCTCTCGTCCATTTCTTAATCGGAACGAACATGACCTATTTCATCAGATCCTTGTATTACTCCATGGGAGATAACGCCAATTTTCATTCTTCATGATTAAAGGATTATTTTGATTACTTTTGATTTAAATGATCAACTTAAATTTTGATTTCACATAAAAATACATAACATTGATAATGTTAAACCCTGAACTTACCTACGTCACATTTCTGATAGGTGGAAACGCACCGTTTGTCGAAGGCCAGGACACCAACATTTTCAAATATCATATATTCAATTTATATACCGGACTTTTTTGTGTAGTCAGGTTCAGTGAACAACATACTACCTGTGCGTTTCTTTTTGTGAAGAGTGTATTCGCGCTTGGGAATCCCCATGGGTTCCCCCAGGAATGTGGAAGTAGTCCGTCAGTGTTTACATGTACGTCATTTCAAGAACATGGTCTCGTAAATAACGTAGGAACGTCAAATTGTGTCGTCAAAATGTGAACGTCAATTTCGCGGACATGGGACCGACCTCTCGTCTAATGGAAAAGCTGCATATCGTGTAAACTACAAATAATCGTTTTATAGAGAAACGGAAATGCCTCAAAGGGACATTGTCACAATAGAACTTACCTACTTCTTAATCGGGAACGACTATAACATATTAATTTCATCAGATCCTTGTATTACTCCAAGGGAGATAACGCCAATTTTCATTGTACATAATTAAAGGATTATCTTAATTACTTTTGATATTAAAGGATCAATTCAATTTTGATTGCACATTAAACTACATTACGTTGATGATGTTAAACCCTGAACTTACCCTCGTCACATTTCTGATTGGTGGAAACTCGCCATCCAGGGCAGCAGAAAAAGACAGTCCGATAGGCCGGCACTTTGTACCACTTATAATAGCAGCATCTGAAGAGACATGAGGTGAGGTTAACTGGGGTTTAACGTGGCGTTCATAATAAGATCACTTACCTTGAGATCAGCACGGACGTATGTTTGGCTGTTTGTTTCAGTCCGGAATTATAGGCTTAATAGTGCTAGCCCACTGAGATACTATGTCGTAGTTCACCATGGATACCCCACTCAGACACATTATACTGACTTCCAGCCATTACCGAGCAGGGTAGCATTAAGTACCATATTTAACGTATTTTGATATGACGCAAAAGAGAGACATGGATGTACCATTGATATACCGGTTGTTATAATAGGTGTTTAAAATAAGATGTTGTATGTAATTCCCTGCCTCAACATAATTATCATTGTTATGCATGGTAAATCCACGAGAAAACTGTTTCACAAATTACTTCAAGACAAACATAAGATCTTTAACTTTTATCATATGATTAGTAGACTTCTCGATGGGAGAAAGCCAACGGAGAAAACGATGTCCGTTTTGATCATATACGGATAAAGATGCAAATATGAAAGGTGAGGTAGGTACTACTTTTAGTGTTTACAAACAAAATGGCGCCGCCCTTGTCAATCGGCGATAGAGTCAGAATTAACCATCGTGAATCTGGAGAAACTACCGGGATAATTGTGATCATTATCAAAACAGTAGTCTACGATACTGAAAATAAGTATATAACTAGGACGTAGCTGAGGACATTTACAAGTTATGGCATTTTTTTAGATATGAATAGCGAAACAATTTAGGAAGGACACTAGCTCAGTGGGATCCGTTTCCATATCTGTGTTTAGAGACCTCTGCGGCTTGAATCCTTTTCCCCCAATTTGAGACAGTTGGATTTGGCCGAAATATGCCCGAATTGTTACCTTGGTTCATTATATCGCAGTGTGTACATCTGACTTTGCACTTCGTAACGTTGTGACAGCACAGAGAGACTTAACTATCGTGACGTCTCATAGACTAGGGTAAAGGGTAGTTGCTCTTGCGGGCGGAGCTCAGGAATGCCGCGAAAGGCAAGTTGAAACAATATGTGTAGGCAGTTGTTATTTAGCCTCCAGATCTATGTAGATACGCTAAGAAACAGGTTACAGTTGGAACTATATTGACTGTTGTATATACTGTTCTGTACTGTACTGTACTGAAGTATATATACATTCTTTTGCGCACATTCCAGGAAACTTTGTAATGTTTAAATCGTGTTTAGATAGTGTTGATAGAGATGAGAACAGGAGTTTCGCGACAGAATTATGAATGACTAATTATAAAGAGGTTCTCACTATTGTGTGTTTGGGGATGGTATATATCCTGAATTAGAAATAAACACTATGTATTTAGGTCGCTGGGGCAAGCTTTATACAATGTTTATTCCTAATACAGGATATTTACCATCCCAAAACACACTCGCGTTAACCTCTAGTAAAGTTGCGTCATTGGAATTGACATCACGTGTTTTCTAGTCATATATTTAACGAAAGACTGTACTTACGCTCTCCATGTTCTGTACGCACACCGATACTCCCACCTGTACGAGCAGATTCTTTGTGAACATACATTCCTGCAAGGACAGATATGTTCGTTAAACAAAATGGCAACGTGGTCGAAATCCGTAGAAATCCAAAGGAAAGCAATATTCATAAAACGAAGACATCAGGACAATCGACAAATAACCGCAATAAAGGAATGCTAACATGCAGAAAAAGAAAGTGACGCGTCCAAAGCTCACGGGTAAACAGGTAGGTGAAACAGTTCCTTTCCGAAATCCAACAAGAATAAGTGGAACATGTAGGAACCGTGGACAAAGCCCTTGTGTTTAATATATGAAGTAAACAAAGGTATTAAACTCTAATTAAGTGTGCTTGCAATAAATGATGTAAAACATGTCAGTAGTAAAAACACAATACCTTGTACTGTCAGCACCTTTTTTTAATGTGACAACTTGTGTTGAGGTCACTGTAAAGCCCATGTAGAAGTAGCAATAAAGCCGAAAACACACCATTGAGGCATGGATTTCGGTATTTGGCGAAACTAGGAGGTAGAGAAATAATTACAACCTTTTGTCTTTTACCTTCTTAAAAATATGTATGTATAAAATTTAATCTTCAGAAATTTACAGAAATTAATTTGAATTTTGAATTTTGAATTTGCAAATGCTTCTATTTAAACAAATCACCACCACACAATTATGGTCGATATATATTTATCGTATTAAGGCCTCGTATTTAAGTTGAAATCGCAATATATATGTGATAAGTAAGCTGACATCCTCCGTTGTCACCACATCAAGGTATGTCAAGGTCACTAGAGGTTACATTTTGAAGAAAGGTTACAAGTGGAAGGACATTTCGGATTAATAGTAAATAGTTTTATTCGGAAGGTGTTATGATGGTTTTGAGACCTATTATTACCACTCGCCATCTTTGCCACAAGTAATGTGTTGGCAGATGACAGGATGGCAATTAAGGTGAAGGTTACTCGGTGTGAAGTCCCTAAACATCAATACAGTAAACTACGTTTATAACGAACACGCTTATAACGAACTGACGGATATAACGAACTTACTTTTTTGTCCCGACAATTTGCTGTAGTTATGCTGTATATATGCTTATAACGAACTACAGTTATAACGAACTAAAATTAGTGGTCCCTTTGAGTTTGTTATAACAGACAGAAAGTCCAATGCATCTAACTACCTTAATAACAAAGCACTTCCAGTTAAATAATATATCCTCCTGTATTCTGTTTCAAAGATTTACTGCACTGGGAATTGTTATATCAGAAGCGAGTGTTGTAACTTTATTTTTAAGGTGATAGTCAGTGACTGCAAATGATAGAAGCGCTGGTAAAATGTCACGTGAAGTTCGTTTCCAGAATTTAGAAGCATACATCCGCAGCGTTTAAATTTGAATTATCGCCCCAAGTTGTTGTTGACAAAGATGGGAGGCTTGATCGTTTGAAAAGCTTCGGAAAGGGACAATATGTACACTGAGTGGAAAAGAAACTATTTCTCTTATCATATGTTTGGTTTTCAATTGAAAATATGTTAAATTAACGATATTATTTGTTAAACCAAATGAAAATATATAAATTCACAAGTGTGGTAACCTGATCAGTACAAATAACACAAAGGGGCGTAAATATTGATGAAGTATTGGCAAATTATCTCTGGAACTTAATATTTTATCTCTGAAAAAATTGTTGAAAATAATTTGTTGATCTATCGTTGTTTTACTTCATGCTTAAAATGATTCAAGGTCTTTGCTTTTTTCAAATTAAATTTACACTTACAAACGAAGCAATAGCAAGTAACAGAATGAGATCAAATACTTGATCAGTCATGATAATTTCCCTTATTCCAAATAATACAAACTGATGATAATCCAATTACAAATATTAAAAACAGAAGAGCCGTTGCCTGTTACCCAAGTCAGAAGATCTTTCCAAACATATCTGAACAAAGCGACATTCACAGAAAACGTAAAATATTTCCTTCATTAGCAAGACAAAACAAAGCGCAATGATCATCATCTGACATTTTAATCTTAAGTAAAAACAAATGTGTTCATATGTGTGCAGTAATCAATCGTGCAACCATCTTAGTTTGGTGCGCCGGCCTTGGTTAACGTTATAAGTAATGGTTTGTCCGAAATTTGGGCTCATACGAGATTAATATCATTTGTAAAGGTACAGTTGTTCCATCTAAGTTGTGATTTTGACAAGTTTTGTAAGTTAGTAGAGTGGAATTGTATTTTTATATCAAAACTGACTACAGCTTGCCAATATGGATTGGAACCATTTTCTATATTACTATTATAAAACAAACTTTCAGAAACAAATTCCTATAATGTCACTTAACACCAGAGATGCAAAGGCACAATAAGCACTCATCTCAAAACCGTATTATCCGTCCGTCCCTTTTCCAGTTGCCTATGACCTATCATAGGCATTGTGACATTAGAAAGGTTTAGAGTATAAATAAAACATTGTGTCGAAGGACGATCACAACAATTATCGCTGCGTCTTCTTCCGACCTTGAACTTCTTGTGATAAATTGACCAAGTGGACAGGCGTTAAAAATATGGTCCTCATGTCAACCGATGTAATCTTGTGTGGTATCTTTTCGTGCTCGAAGCTAATCAGATGATGAAGCTTGACGGTAATTACATCCAATTTCAAAAACAGATGAACAAACTGCTGACGAGTATAAAATCACACAGCCAACATGATATAAAAGAGAACATAACTTGGTAAGTCGATCGCCTCGCGGGTTCCCCTCACCTACACTGCACCAAGTTTGAAGCTAGATTTTCCACTTAATGTCGATCGATGTTTCAAACTTGGTGATGGCGCGAACTACAGGGAACTGACCGTCTCTTATCATAAGCCAACACGTAATACTGTCTAATCCAGACAAACCGGTCATTCGCATGAGACGCGTTCTGTTGAATAAGACTACATTGAAAGCGATATACCAGTATTAAGCATGTATAAATCACACAGCATTTGTTTGATGGAATCACACCGACCTATTATGAAGTATTCACAGTCGTATCGCAGCGTGCATGAACTCAAAAGAAGCGACAACAACATAGCATATAATCTCGGGTGGCGAGGTGAAATGGAGTTTAACGTCGCGTCCAAGATTATTGCACTTATGTAGCGACATGCATGTATGTACACATATCGAGACATTGCAGAATGATCTGGTGTGAATATTGTGTAAATTCCGATGTATGAGCCATCATTGGAATATGAAACAGCTGTCTTATAGAAATATCGATACAGCCGTACAGAAGTGTAACAAATGTAATCATGATGCTGTTAAACATGAACATCACTTCCTGTTAGAAAGTCAGTATTCTATATCATACAGAAAGCAGAACGATTTTTCATCCCAGTGTTCATATGGAACTACCTTAAACGAGGTGTGTGTGTGTGTCTGTGTGTGTCTGTCTGTGTGTGTGTCTGTCTGTGTGTGTGTCTGTCTGTGTGTGTGTCTGTGTGTGTGTGTGTGTGTGTGTCTGTGTGTGTGTGTGTGTCTGTGTGTGTCTGTCTGTCTGTGTGTCTGTCTGTCTGTGTGTGTGTATGTCTGTGTGTCTGTCTGTGTGTCTGTCTGTCTGTGTGTGTCTGTGTGTGTCTGTGTGTGTCTGTGTGTCTGTGTGTGTGTGTGAGTGTGTGATGAATAGGACATCTGGTGGAGTTGATCCCATCCCATCCAATGCACAGGAAGAACACATGCCATTTGATGCAAGTAATAAATCCGCTTCAGTGCAGAGAAAACACCCCCTTCAGTGCGGGAATAAAGTTAATGGTTTCAGTTGATGAATACTATGTAAAATCAGGTTAATGTTTGTTAAAGATTGTTGCACTTACATAACAACTTGAGATGAACAAGAATAATGTCTGATAGTGTTATACATTTCATGATCGACTATCTTCACTAGTACAATAGCGCCACTGAGGACACAAATGTACAATACAGTTAACAATTTGAAGTAAACCATGTACTTTTATATCTAATAGCGCGTCATTGAGGACACAAATGTACAATAAAGTTAACAGTTTACAGTACACCATGTACCTTTATGGCTAATAGCGCGTCATTGAGGACACAAATGTATAATAAAGTTAACAGTTTACAGTATACCATGTACCTTTATGGCTAATAGCGCGTCCTTGAGGACACAAATGTACAATACAGTTAACAATTTACAGCAAACAATGTATCTTTATGGGTAAAAGCGCCACTAAGACACAAATGTACAATGCAGTTAACAATTTACACCATACCATGTATCTTTATGGGTAAAAGCGCCACTAAGACACAAATGTACAATGCAGTTGACACTTTACAGCATACCATGTACCTTCATGGGTAAAAGCGCCACTAAGACACAAATGTACAATGCAGTTGACACTTTACACCATACCATGTACCTTTATGGGTAAAAGCGCCACTAAGACACAAATGTACAATGCAGTTAACAATTTACACCATACCATGTATCTTTATGGGTAAAAGCGCCACTAAGACACAAATGTACAATGCAGTTAACAATTTACACCATACCATGTACCTTTATGGGTAAAAGCCCCACTAAGACACAAATGTACAATGCAGTTGACAATTTACAGCATACCACGTACCTTTATGGGTAATAGCGCCACTAAGACACAAATGTACAATGCAGTTGACAATTTACAGCATACCACGTACCTTTATGGGTAATAGCGCCACTGAGGACAGTACTGATACAGCATGGAACACCAATGTACAGGGGCAACAATGTACAGTTTGTTATAAACACGTCACAGAGAGCAATAAGCAACATAAATGTATAGCATTGTCAACGATGTGCAGTATAACCTGTACTTATTTGGCTTAGCCTGGGGCAATATCAACCTATCTGAAGGCTACTTGTACCACGACATACCATGTAATGCCCTGAAAACGACCCCCAAAGCCCAACCCCAAACCCCCAACCCCAACACAATTAGTAGTACAAGTACCAGTATTGGCGAGTACAAGCAGCGTTACACACACACGCACCTGTGCAT